ACCATGTTTACCTAAGGTTATACTCCTCACTCAGTTGTGTCGACCTTCCTCATCCTCCTTGTAGGTTATGATAGGTTAGGTAGGTTGGTTCCTTTGGAATGAGAATAGATTTATTTTTTGTGTATTTTTGGTGTGTTTTTCTCAAAATTGACTTCCATTTGTTTTCAAATTAACTGTTTCTGTTAAAAATGAAAGTGTTCATTTTTTTTAAACCGCTAATTTACACAAGAAATGAAGGTCAGATATGAGTAAAACACCGAAAGACGTAAAAAAAAAAGTTTTTCTCATACCAAAACCTGAGAACAGCCAACAGACGAATATTTACCAGAGATCGTAATAGATATGTAAACTAAAAATCAATTACTGCCATAATAATATTCATGTAAATTAGTTATATAGTGTTATGATCGGTGATACTGTTGTCACTACGTAGGTGACTGCATGTGTTTACAGTATTTCGTAGCCCTAATAAACAAGCTATCTATCTATCTACATAAAACAAAGAAGTATGTCTGTTTGTGTGTGTGTGTTTGTGTGTCCGCACGAGAATCTCGGAAACTACTTTACCGATCTGTAGTGATGATGGATGGTGTTATATGTAGTGATGATGGATGGTGTTATATGCAGTGATGATGGATGGTGTTATATGTAGTGATGATGGGTGGTGTTATATGTAGTGATGATGGATGGTGTTATATGTAGTGATGATGGATGGTGTTATATGCAGTGATGATGGATGGTGTTATATGCAGTGATGATGGAAGGTGTTATATGTAGTGATGATGGATGGTGTTATATGCAGTGATGATGGATGGTGTTATATGTAGTGATGATGGAAGGTGTTATATGTAGTGATGATGGATGGTGTTATATGTAGTGATGATGGAAGGTGTTATATGTAGTGATGATGGGTGGTGTTATATGTAGTGATGATGGGTGGTGTTATATGTAGTGATGATGGATGGTGTTATATGTAGTGATGATGGGTGGTGTTATATGTAGTGATGATGGGTGGTGTTATATGTAGTGATGATGGATGGTGTTATATGTATGATGATGGTGTTATATGCTGATGATGGAAGGTGATGATATGTGTAGTGATGATGGATGATGTGTGATGATGGATGTTATATGTAGTGATGATGAATGGTGTTATATGTAGTGATGATGGATGGTGTTATATGTAGTGATGATGGATGGTGTTATATGTAGTGATGATGGATGGTGTTATATGTAGTGATGATGGATGGTGTTATATGCAGTGATGATGGATGTTATATGTAGTGATGATGGGTGGTGTTATATGTAGTGATGATGGATGGTGTTATATGTAGTGATGATGGATGGTGTTATATGCAGTGATGATGGAATGTTATATGTAGTGATGATGGATGGTGTTATATGTAGTGATGATGGATGGTGTTATATGTAGTGATGATGGATGGTGTTATATGCAGTGATGATGGAGGATGATGTTATATGTAGTGATGATGGATGTTGTTATATGTGATGATGGGTGGTGTTATATGTAGTGATGATGGATGGTGTTATATGCAGTGATGATGGATGGTGTTATATGTAGTGATGATGGATGGTGTTATATGTAGTGATGATGGGTGGTGTTATATGTAGTGATGATGGATGGTGCTATGTAGTGATGATGGTGGTGTTATATGTAGGTGATGATGGATGGTGTTATGTGTAGTGATGATGGATGGTGTTATATGTAGTGATGATGATGGTGTTATATGTAGTGATGATGGGTGGTGTTATATGTAGTGATGATGGTGGTGTTATATAGTAGTGATGATGGATGGTGTTATATGCAGTGATGATGGAAGGTATGCAGTGATGATGGATGGTGTTATATGTAGTGATGATGGATGGTGTTATATGTAGTGATGATGAATGGTGTTATATGTAGTGATGATGGATGGTGTTATATGTAGTGATGATGGATGGTGTTATATGTAGTGATGATGGATGGTGTTATATGTAGTGATGATGGATGGTGTTATATGCAGTGATGATGGATGGTGTTATATGCAGATGATGGAAGGTGTTATATGTAGTGATGATGGATGGTGTTATATGTAGTGATGATGGGTGGTGTTATATGTAGTGATGATGGATGGTGTTATATGTAGTGATGATGGATGGTGTTATATGTAGTGATGATGGATGGTGTTATGTGGTGATGATGGGTGGTGTTATATGTAGTGATGATGGGTGGTGTTATATGTAGTGATGATGGATGGTGCATATGCAGTGATGATGGATGGTGTTATATGTAGTGATGATGGGTGGTGTTATATGGAAGTAGTGATGATGGATGGTGTTATATGTAGTGATGATGGATGATGTTATATGTAGTGATGATGGAAGGTGTTATATGTAGTGATGATGGAAGGTGTTATATGTAGTGATGCTGGATGTGTTATATGTAGTGATGATGGATGGTGTTATATGTCGTGCTGATGGATGGTGTTATATGTCGTGATGATGGATGGTGTTATATGTAGTGATGATGGGTGGATGTTATTTATAGTGAAGGATGGATGTTATATGTAGTGATGATGGGTGGTGTTATATGTAGTGATGATGGATGGTGTTATATGTAGTGATGATGGATGGTGTTATATGTAGTGATGATGGGTGGTGTTATATGGTGATGATGGGTGGTGTTATATGTAGTGATGATGGATGGTGTTATGTAGTGATGATGAAGGTGTTATATGTAGTGATGATGGATGGTGTTATAGAGGATGATGGATGGTGTTATATGTAGTGATGATGGATGGTGTTATATGTAGTGATGATGGATGGTGTTATATGTAGTGATGATGGGTGGTGTTATATGTAGTGATGATGGATGGTGTTATATGTAGTGATGATGGATGGTGTTATATGTAGTGATGATGGAAGGTGTTATATGTAGTGATGATGGATGGTGTTATATGAAGTGATGATGGGTGGTGTTATATGTAGTGATGATGGGTGGTGTTATATGTAGTGATGATGGATGGTATTATATGTAGTGATGATGGATGATGTTATATGTAGTGATGATGGATGTTGTCATATGTAGTGATGATGGGTGGTGTTATATGATGTGATGATGGGTGGTGTTATATGTAGTGATGATGGATGGTATTATATGTAGTGATGATGGATGTTGTTATATGTAGTGATGATTAGACAATAAAATAATAACCGTTTAATGCTAAAAAAATATACTTTGCTGTACCGTTGTAGTGAAAAACATGGTGGAACTTACATACACTGTTAATAAACTATTAATGGAAGAAGAAGTTTTGGGGACTGAACAGTGAGGCAATGTGGAGCCTCCCAGATGGTGGCGTCCTACCGTGGCCTAGCGAATGAGCCGCCCGGAGGGCGGCGTTTCTGCTAGTAAAGCTATAAAATATAGATACAAGCATTTATGAATACAAACATACATACATACATACATACATATTAGCCTATATACTCTAGCCTATACAAATAGTCCGAGATAGGCCCTCTAACTTAATTAGCCCCAGGCCCACAGTACCTTTAATCCGGACCTGGAAGTCCAGTGGTAAGAACATACCCTGTGAACGGTGCTGTGATGATTAAGTGAGTTGTAAGGGAGACTACAGTTGCAAGTGTGTTTCTGTGACTTGGTGGAAATCTACCTGCCTGTTGTTTTGTCTGTACACTCATACCGATCGTCGAGAATTTACCGGACTCTGGCGGGGCAGCCAGTGGTAATTCGACATCACTTATAAAATATCTACTGCTTCTGTATAAACAACCATGGCCGCTAGTAACCACCGGTGGAAGCTGGGTAAGCGGCGAAAAGGGTTCGTAACAATATTTTCCGTCATAGTCACAAACAAATTCACGTTTTCGGAGAAGACATTCACCACAACTTCTCTTTTTACTAATTACTATATTTATATATTAAGACAAATGACATCAAACATATAGAGCAACAGATAATAATGACCATTTTATTAAGGGAATAATCAAGAGTAAACACCACATATATACGTAAAGGTGTTAAGACGAACGTTACGGGGAGATTTGTGCAGTTGGCTGAAGAGCCGCTCAGCTGATCCTGACATCTCTACTGTATACTGTAGTGATGAGATGAGCTAATGATGGAAGAAAAAGTGAGTGTGTGTGTGTGTGTGTGTGTGTGTGTGTGTGTAATTATGATTGACATGAAGTAGAAATCATATTTTTAATGTGAAGTACAATAAAAATAATGTCTTAACAAAAACTTCTTTTATAAGGATGTTTTGTGGTTTCACATTTTCCCATCTGAACTAAATAGAGAGAGAGAGAGAGAGAGAGAGAGAGAGAGAGAGAGAGAGAGAGAGAGAGAGAGAGAGAGTGGCCTAATAAATATAGTGTTAACGCACACGTTTATGAACTATTCGATACATACATTATAAAGTAAACAGCCTGAATCTAAATAATACATGTGCTGTATTTCAATTGCCGCTTCAGCCAAGTAACGTCTTAAACAACACCTGTACGTAAATATGTGGTGTTTAATCTTGAGTCTGCTCTTAATAAAATGGTCATTATTATCCGTTGCTTTATATGTTTGGTGTAATTTCTCTTGATATTCACAATAATTAGTAAAAAGAGAAGAAGTACTGACGAATGTGTTCTCCGACAGCATTAATATTACTTTGTGACTTCGCTATTTCAAACGTTATTTTATTTCACATATCTTGAAAGCTAAAGTTTTGAAGCAATTATATTTTTACAGACATTAAATTCAGCAGTAAAGTGAGCCAGAAATGAGTATCCTAAACAGTTTTATATGAATTTATTTACGATAATCAATATTAATGAGCCAATGAGCTGCAAAGAGCTGCAAAAGGGCGGGGCTTGTACCATCTGTTACAAACATACCGGTTCCCGATTATACAGTGAGTCTCTTGCCCTCTTTCTCCCTCGCCCTCTTACTCCTACTCCTCCTGAGACACTAACACTTTCCCCAGGCCGCCCATCCGGGTAACGTCATCCGAAGACCGCAACAAGGTGTTCAGCGGTGGAATAGACGATGAGGACGACCAAGATTACCTACCCCAGGCGTCAGCTCTCAAGGGCGGCTCCAAGAAACTGCCGGAGACCAAGAGAGGTGAGTCTTGGCAGTTCGGTGTTGGTCGTGGTGAGTCACACACACGGCGGTGTATTAATCGTGTTGAGTCACACACACGGTGTATTAGTCGTGTTGAGTCACACATGGTACAGCGGTAACGCACGTAACTCACACCAGTATGTCAAGGGTTCGAGCCTGGGCCCAGACATACGTGAGAAGGGTGTTATCCAGTGTGACCCTCACAACCAAACACCACAGATTTCCCGGTTCCCGGTTTCCTCCTGTACTAACACTGGATAGACTGCCCAAACGGCTAGTAAGTTGATAAGTGGCGAAAATTATAAAACAAAATTAGTTTCCATATCCTCTTCTCTCGTCAAACTATAACACGTCTTTGCTTTTCACATTTGTAAAATGTGTTGGTGTTCGTCATGGTTGTGAGGGCGTGGCTGGCTGCCGTCTGTGTCTCTAACTCAACCACTTCTTCAGGTTGTAATTCCAAGCCGGGGAATCCAGCGAATGGGCGGATGGACTGCTCTTCATACGCAGGGTGTCGTGCCGTGTGTAACCGCGGCTATCAGTTCCCTAGCGGGGAGAAGCGGCTTTTCCTGCAGTGTGAGGACGGCGAGTGGGCAGTTACCTCCAGGGATTGGGACACGCTTCCCGACTGTGAACGTGAGGACACACTGTACTACACACTGCTTGTACTGGAACCTAATATAGGACAGTTAACACCCCTCTGCCTCTGTTAACACCCCTCTGCCTCTGTTAACACCCCTCTGCCTCTGTTAACACCCCTCTGCCTCTGTTAACACCCCTCTGCCTCAGTTAACACCCCTCTGCCTCTGTTAACTCCCCTCTGCCTCCGTTAACCACCCTCTGCCTCTGTTAACACCCCTCTGCCTCTGTGCTCCCCTCTGCCTCCGTTAACACCCATCTACCTCAGTTAACACCCTCTGCCTCTGTTAACACCCCTCTGCCTCTATTAACACCCTCTGCCTCTGTTAACACCCTGTGCCTCTGTTAACACCCTCCGCCTCTGTTAACACCCCTCTGCCCCAGTTAACACCCCCCTCATTTAACACCCTCTGCCTCTGTTAACAGCCCTCTAACACTCTGTTAACACCCTCTGCCTCTGTTAACACCCCTCTGCCTCTGTTAACACCCCTCTGCCTCTGTTCTGCCTCTGTTAACACCCCTCTGCTCTCTGTTAACACCCCTCTGCCTCTGTTAACACCCCTCTGCCTCTGTTAACACCCCTCTGCCTCTGTTAACACCCCTCTGCCTCTGTTAACACCCTCTGCCTGTTAACACCTCTGCCTCTGTTACCCCTCTGCCTCTGTTAACACCCTCTGCCTCTGTTAACACCCCTCTGCCTCTGTTAACACCCTCTGCCTCTGTTAACACCCTCTGCCTCTGTTAACACCCCTCTGCCTCTGTTAACACCCTCTGCTCTGTTAACACCCTCTGCCTCTGTTAACACCCCTCTGCCTCTGTTAACACCCCTCTGCCTCTGTTAACACCCCTCTGCTCTCTCTGTTAACACCCCTCTGCCTCTGTTAACACCCCTCTGCCTCCGTTAACACCCCTCTGCCTCTGTTAACACCCCTCTGCCTCTGTTAACACCCCTCTGCCTCTGTTAACACCCCTCTGCCTCTGTTAACACCCCTTTGCCTCCGTTAACTCTTCTTCTTCCACTTTATGACGTGGATCTTTTGTTGTCCACAGCCGTCTGCACTCCATCTTGTCAGAACAGCGGGATCTGCTTGACGCCTAACGTGTGCCAGTGTCCCGACAACTGGGAAGGTGATTTGTGTCAATTGCCTAAGGCGCCGACCCCTAGGATCTGCTCCAACAAGCCCCCGACCCCGACCAACTCGAGGATATTCTGCAGCAGGGAGTGAGTACAGTACTCTACTTGTGTTGCCGTCACTGTGTTGACACTTGATGAGCGAGCTCAACACTTACGACAGTACACTTCTGGTGACCCCCACAATACATTATATGATTAGCACATCCACGATGGCTGAGATTTCTTTCTTTGTTCATTTGAGTTGATGTTGTGAAAATATTCTCTCATGGATATGACAGCTGTTTTTGTTAATGGAGAATTAGAGTGAGAGGCAGAGAAATTATTACAATATCATTATTCCATGTTTTTCATGATGTGATTAAATATTTTAAGCTTTGCTGGGAAAGAATCTGAAAATTCTCAATATCAGCTCTTGTGACAAATCTATGTCTCATATCATTAACTTGAATTAAACTTTATATCAACTGATAATGTACAGTAAAACGAAGGAAAGTCCGGGGGGGTGGGGATTATAAAGTTACCAACTGTGTTCTCCTGCAGTGAGTGCATAGCGCGGTGCCATGAGGGCTACCACTTCGCTGAGGGCACTACCCGCCTCACTTTCCAGTGTGAGAATGGTTCCTGGACCATCACCAACTCCAGGTGGAGAGGCACTTCACCTGATTGTCAACGTGAGTGACGGGATGGGGGCTTTATAGATGTGTTCTGTAGTGAATGTAGTGGATCATGATGATACATAGTAAGCTCATCTTTAACTTATAATTTACATTAAAGCCGTTTTAATTAAATGTGGAACAGAAAATGCTACCTTTCTGGACCCTCAGCGCTTGATACATAGATCTCAGATGTTCATATAAAGTGTGATCTTATAGCACCTCACAGTATTATTTCCTGCTCTCATCCCCCCAGTCTCACCCCCCTAACACAGCCGTCTCCCTACAGCCATCTGTGACCCCGCCTGTGTAAACGGAGGCAGGTGCATTGCTCCCAACGTGTGCGAGTGTCCTTCAGACTACCGTGGTGACATCTGCCAGTACCGTGAGTGTACCATTCCTTCGTTTTTTGGTTCACACGCATTTTTACAACCACAGTCCTCAATTCTTCCCAAAATCATTATTTCTTTTCCCAATCATTCTTCTACTCTTTATTTACCCTGTGTTCTCTCTCCCTTATTACTTACAGCATCGTAGAGTAAATAGATTTCACTGTTTGTGTTGTATCTCTTTTACACTACATGTAACTTGGAGCGTCATTTACTTTCTCCCTCTGTGTGTCAGCTGTGCCCTACACTTCCTGCCCCCCGAGTGTCAGCTGTGCCCTACACTTCCTGCCCCCCGAGTGTCAGCTGTGCCCTGGTCTTCCTACCTCCTTGCGTCAGCTGTGCCCTGGTCTTCCTACCCACGTGTGTCAGCTGTGCCATGGTCTTCCTACCTCCGTGTGTCAGATGTGCCCTGGTCTTCCTACCTCCATGCGACAGCTGTGCCCTGGTCTTCCCACCCACGTGTGTCACTGTCCTGGTCTTCCCACCTCCGTGTGTCACTGTCTAGTCTTCCTACCCCCGTGTATTGTGCCCTGGTCTTCCAACCCCGAGTGTCATGTGTCCTGGTCTTCCCACCGTGTGTCAGCTATGCCCTGGTTTGCTTACCTGTGTGTCAGCTGTGCCATGGTCTTCCCTACCCACGTGTGTCAGCTGTGCCCTGGTCTTCCCACCTCTGTGTGTCACTGTCCTGGTCTTCCTACCCCCGAGGGTCAGCTGTCCTGGTCTTCCCAACCTCAGTGTGTATGCGTCCTGGTCTTCCCACTTCAGTGTGTCAGCTGTACCCTAGTCTGCTCATCTCCGAGTGTCAGCTGTGCCATGGTCTTCCTACGTCTGTGTGTCAGCTGTGCCTGGTCTTCCTACCCCCGAGGGTCAGCTGTGCCCTGGTCTTCCTACCTCAGAGTGTCAGCTGCGTCCTGGTCTTCCCACCCACGTGTGTGTCCTGCCCTGGTCTTCCCACCTCCGTGTGTCAACTGTGCCCTAGACTTCCCACCCCCGAGTGCCAGCTGTGCCCTGGTCTTCTCACTCCGTATGTCAGCTGTGCCCTGGTCTTCCTATCTCCGTGTGTCACAGCCCTAGTCTTCCCACCCCTGTATCAGCTGTGCCCTGGTCTTCTCCTACCCCCGAGTGTCATTTGTGCCCTGGTCGTCCCACCCCCGAGTGTTCAGCTGTGCCCTGGCTTCTCCTACTTCAGTGTGTCAGCTGTTCCCTGGTCTTCCCACCCCCGAGTGTCAGCTATGCCCTGGTTTGCTTACCTCCGTGTGTCACTGTGCCATGGTCTTCCTACCCACGTGTGTCAGCTGTGCCCTGGTCTACCTACTTCAGTGTGTCAGCTGTGCCCTAGTCTGCCTACTCCCGAGAGTCAGCTGTGCCCTGGTCTTCCTACCTCAGTGTGTCAGCTGCGTCCTGGTCTTCCTACCTCAGTGTGTCAGCTGTGCCTGGTCTTCCTACCTCCGTGTGTCAGCTGTGCCCTGGTCTACCTACTCCCCGAGTGCCAGCTGTTCCCTGTCATCCTACCGAGTGTCAACTATGCTCTGGTTTGCTTACCTCCGTGTGTCAGCTGTGCCTAGTCTTCCTACCCCCCTTGTATTAGCTGTGCCCTGGTCTTCCCACCCCCGAGTGTCATTTGTGCCCTGGTCTTCCCACCCCCGTGTGTCAGCTGTGCCCTAGTCTTCCCACCTCTGTGTGTCAGCTGTGCCCTGGTCTTCCCACCCCCCGTGTATTAGCTGTGCCCTGGTCTTCCTACCCCGAGTGTCATTTGTGCCATGGTCTTCCCACCCACGTGTGTCAGCTGTGCCCTGGTCTTCCCACCCTCTGTGTGTCAGCTGTGCCCTGGTCTTCCTACCCCGAGGGTCAGCTGTGCCCTGGTCTTCCTACTTCAGTGTGCCAGCTGTCCCTGGTCTTCCTACCCCCGAGTGTCAGCTATGCCCTGGTTTGCTTACCTCAGTGTGCCAGCTGTGCCATGGTCTTTCCTACCCACGTGTGTCAGCTGTGCCCTGTCTTCCCACCTCTGTGTGTCATTTGTGCCCTGGTCTTCCCACCCCCGTGTGTCAGCTGTGCCCTGGTCTTCCCACCAGTGTGTCACTGCGTCCTGGTCTTCCTACTTCAGTGTGTCAGCTGTGCCCTGGTCTTCACTACTCCAGTGTGTCACTGTGCCCTGGTCTTCCTACTTCAGTGTGCCAGCTGTTCCCTGGTCTTCCCACTCCCCGAGTGTCAGCTATGCCTGGTTTGCTTACCTGTGTGTCCATGGTGGTCTTCCTACCCACGTGTGGCAGCTGTGCCCTGGTCTTCCTACCTCTGTGTGTCAGCTGTGCCCGGTCTTCCCACCCCGAGGGTCAGCCTGCCCTGGTCTTCCCACCTCAGTGTGTCAGCGCGTCCTGGTCTTCCCATTTGTGTATCAGCTGTGCCCTAGTCTTCCCACTCCCGTGTGTCAGCTGTGCCCTGGTCTGTTACCTCCGTGTTTCAGCTGTGCCCTAGCCTTTCACTCCGTGTGTCAGTTGTGCCCTGGTCTTCCCACCGTGTCAGCTGGTCCTGGTCTTCCCCACTTCAGTGTGTGTCAGCTGTGCCCTGGTCTTCCCACTCCGTGTGTCAGCTGTGCCCTGGTCTTCCTACCTCCGAGTGTCAGCTGTGCCTGGCCTTCCTACCTCCAGTGTCAGCTGTGCCCTGGTCTTCCCACCGTGTGTCACTGCCCTGGTCTTTCTACCTCCGTGTGTGTCAGCTGTGCCCTGGTCTTCCCACCTCCGTCTGTCAGCTGTGCCTGGTCTTCCACTCAGTGTGTCAGCTGTGCCTGGTCTTCCCACCTCCGTGTGCTAGCTGTGCCCTGGTCTTCCTACTCAGGTGTGCTTGCCAGCTCCTGGTCTTCCACCTCCGTGTGCTAGCTGTGCCCTGGTCTTCCTACCTGTGTGTCAGCTGTGCCCTGGTCTTCCTCACCTCCGTGTGTTAGCTGTGCCTGGTCTTCCCCCCCCTGAGTGTCAGCTGTCCCTGCTCTTCCTACCTCCCTGTGCTAGCTGTGCCCTGGTCTTCCTACCTCAGGGTCAGCTGTGCCCTGGTCTTTCTACCTGTGTGTCCTCTGCCCTGGTCTTCCCACCTCCGTCTGTCAGCTGTGCCCTGGTTCCCACTTCAGTGTGTCAGCCTGGTCTTCCTATCTCCGTGTGCCAGCTGTGCCCTGGTCTTCCTACCTCCGTGTGCTATGTGCCTGGTCTTCCCACTTCAGAGTGTCAGCTGTGCACTGGCCTTCCTACCTCCGTGTGTTAGCTGTGCCCTGGTCTTTCTACCTCCGTGTCAGCTGTGCCCTGGTCTTCCTAACCTGTCTATCAGCTGTGCCCTGGTCTTCCTACTTCAGTGTGTCAACTGTGCCCTGGTCTTCCCACCTGTGTCAGTTGTGCCCTGGTCATCCTACCCCGAGTGTCACTGCCTTGCCTTACTCCCCCGAGTGTCAGCTGTGCCCTGGTCTTCCCACTGTGTCAGCTGTGCCCTGTTCTACCTACCTCCATGTGTTAGCTGTGCCCTGGTCTGTCTACCTGTATATCAGCTGTGCCCTGGTCTTCCTACCTCCGTGTGTTAGCTGTTCCTGGTCTTCCCACCCACGTATCAGCTGTGCCCTGTTCTACCTACCTCCTGCGTCAGCTGTGCCCTGGTCTCCCACTGTGTCAGCTGTGCCTGGTCTGTCTACCTGTGTATCAGCTGTGCCCTGGTCTTCCTACCCCCGTGTTTCAGCTGTGCCCTGGTCTTCCTACTCCCGTGTTTCAGCTGTGCCCTGTTCTGCCTATCTCCGAGGTCAGCTGTGCCCTGGTTTGCTTACCTCCGTGTCATTGTGCCCTGTCTTCCACCTCCCAGGTCAGGCCTGTCTTCCACCTCCTGTCAGCTATGCCCTGGTCTTCCTACCTGTGTCAGCTGTCCTCTGGTCTTTCTACTCCGTATGTCAGCTGTGCCCTGGTCTTCCTACCCCTGAGAAGCAGCTGTTCCCTGGTCTTCCTACTCTCCGTGTTAGCTGTGCCCTGGTCTTCCTACTTCAGAGTGTCACTGTGCACTGGTCTTCCACTGGTGTTAGCTGTGCCCTGGTCTTCCTACCTCCGTTGCAGCTGTGCCCTGGTCTTTCTACCTCCGTCTGTCAGCTGTGCCCTGGTCTTCCTACTTCAGTGTGTCAGCTGTGCCCTGGTCTTCCTACCTCCGTGTGTCAACTGTGCCCTGGTCTTCCCACTTCAGTGTCAGCTGTGCCCTGGTCTTCCTATCTGTCTGCAGCCCCGGTCTTCCTACTTCAGTGTGTCAGTTGTCTTACCAGTGTGTCAGCTGTGCCCTGGTCTTCCCTTCCCGAGTGTCAGCTGTTCCCTGGTCTTCCTACCCCCGAGTGTCAGCTGTGCCCTGGTCTTCCTACCCCGAGTGTCAGCTGTGCCCTGGTCTTCCCAGTGTGTCAGCTGTGCCCTGTCTTCACCTACCTCCGTGTGTTAGCTGTGCCCTGGTCTGTCTACCTCCGTATATCAGCTGTGCCCGGTCCTCCCACCGTGTTAGCTGTCCCTGGTCTTCCTACCCACGTGTATCAGCTGTGCCCTGTTCCCACCCTCCGTGTCAGCTGTGCCCTGGTCTTCCCACCTCCGTGTGTCAGCTGTGCCCTGGTCTGCCTACCTCCGTGTATCAGCTGTGCCCTGGTCTTCCTCACCCCGTGTTTCAGCTGTGCCCTGGTCTTCCTACCCCCGTGTTTCAGCTGTGCCCTGTTCTGCCTATCTCCATGTCAGCTGTGCCCTGGTTTGCTTACCACTCCGTGTGTCAGCTGTGCCCTGGTCTTCCTACCTCCGTGGCTGGTCAGCTCCCTGGTCTTCCCACCTCCGTGTGTCAGCTATGCCCTGGTCTTCCACCTCCGTGTGTCAGCTGTCCTCTGGTCTTTCTACCTCCGTATGTCAGCTGTGCCCTGGTCTTCCTACCCTGGAGAAGCAGCTGTTCCCTGGTCTTCCCACTCCTCGTGTGTTAGCGTGCCCTGGTCTTCCCACTTCAGTGTCATCTGTGCACTGGTCTTCCCACCTCCGGTGTTAGCTGTGCCCTGGTCTTCCCACGTCCGTGTGTCAGCTGTGCCCTGGTCTTTCACCTCCGTCTGTCAGCTGTGCCTGGTCTTCCTACTTCAGTGTGTCAGCTGTGCCCTGGTCTTCCTACCCGTGTCAACTGTGCCCTGGTCTTCCTACTCAGTGTGTCAGCTGTGCCCTGGTCTTCCTACCTCCGTCTGTCAGCTGTGCCCTGTCTTCCTACTTCAGTGTGTCAGCCAGCCCTGGTCTTCCTACTTCCAGTGTCACTGTGCCCTGGTCTTCCCTAACCCCTAGTGTCAGCTGTTTCCTGGTCTTCCTACCACCCCCGAGTGTCAGCTGCCCTGGTCTTCCCACCTCACTGTGTTAGTTGTGCCCTGGTCTGCCCACTGTCGTGTCAGCTGTGCCCTGGTCTCTCTATCTCCATGTAGTCAGCTGTGCCCTGCTCTGTCTCTGTGTGTCAACTGTGCCCTGCTCTGTCTACCTGTGTGTCAGCTGTACCCTGGTCTGCCTACTCCGTGTGTCAGCTGTGCTGGTCTCTTTCTCTCTCCGTGTGTCAGTGTGCCCTGGTCTTCCTACCTCCGTGTGTCACTGTGCCCTAGTCTTCCCACCTCGTGTGTCAGCTGTGCCCTGTCTTCCCACTGCCGGTCAACTGTGCCCCTGGTCTTCCCACCTCCTGTGTGTCAGCTGTGCCCTAGTCTTCCCACTCCGTGTGTCAGCTGTGGCCTGGTCTTCCCACCTCCGTGTGTCACTGTGCCCTGGTCTTCCCACCTCCGTGTGTCAGCTGTGCCCTGGTCTTCCCACCCCCAAGTGTCAGTTGTTCCCTGGTCTTCCTACTCCCCGTGTGTCAGCTATGCCCTGGTCTTCTTCCCACGTCCTGTGTGTCAGCTGTGCCCTGGTCTTCCCACGTCCTGTGTGTCAGCTGTGCCCTGGTCTTCCTACCCCTGAATGTCAGCTGTGCCCTGGTCTGTCTATCTCCATGTGTCAGCTGTGCCCTGCTCTGTTACCTCCCGTGTGTCAGCTGTGCCCTGGTCATACCTCCGTGTGTCACTGTCCCTGGTCTGCCTACCTAGTTTGTCAGCTGTGCCCTGGTCTTCCTACCCCCGTGTGTCAGCTATGCCCTGGTCTTCCTACTCCCTGTTTGTCACTGCCCTGGTCTTCCTACCTCCGTGTCAGCTTGTGCCCTGGTCTTCCCACCTCCGAGTGTCAGCTGTGCCCTGGTCTGTCTACTCCGTGTTGCAGCTGTGCCCTGGTCTTCCTACCTCCGTGTGTCAGCTGTGCCCTAGTCTTCCCTACCTCCGTGTGTCAGCTGTGCCCTAGTCTTCCCACCTCCGTGTGTCAGCTGTGCCCTGGTCTGTCTACCTGTGTTTAGCTGTGCCCTGTCTGCCTACCCCAGTGTGTCAGCTGTGCCTGGTCTTCCCACCCCCGTGTGTCAGCTATGCCCTGGTCTTCCCACCCCCGGTGTCAGCTGTGCCCTGGTCTTCCCACCTCCGTGTGTCAGCTGTGCCCTAGTCTTCCTACCTCCGTGTGTCAGCTGTGCCCTGGTCTTCCCACCTCCTGTGTGTCAGCTGTGCCCTGTCTGTCTACCTCCGTGTTTCAGCTGTGCCCTAGTCTTCCCACTCCGTGTGTCAGCCAGCCCTGGTCTTCCCACCTCCTGTGTGTCAGCTGTGCCCTGGTCTTCCTACCTCCGTGTGTCACAGCCCTGGTCTTCCTACCTCCGTGTGTCATCTGTGCCCTGGTCTTCCTACCTCCGTGTGTCAGCTGTGCCCTGGTCTTCCTACCTCCGTGTGTCAGCTGTGCCCTGGTCTGTCTACCTTCGTGTGTCAGCTGTGGCCTGGTCTGCCTACCTCCGCGTGTCAGCTGTGTGTTGATAGTGCTCCTTCACCTCCCAACTCTGAGTCTCTCTGTCCTTACTTCCTGTCTCTCTGTATGATTGGTGCTCCGGCTTACTCCTGGACCGCGTGCCCTGAAGAACAGCATCATGGCTGCTGTTGGTTATTTGCATATTGTAATATGTACATGTTAGTTGACCTTTAAGGCCCGCTTGATTATTTCCAAAGGAAAATAATTAACTCTAGAAAGACATATATTAAATATCTGAGTCCTCGTAATCCATAGACATCTTATGAAAGTGATATGAGAACGAGGATCCCCTAATTTACATTATGTAATGATTCCTTCAGTCCTAGACTTAAGAGCAACCTTAGGAAATCATGTTCATACTTTCAGTGTCCACGTGGTTGGCACTTGTATCTTTGAAAGGCTAAATGGGTCACCCCTGTTTGTCACCCCTCGACTGTCGCCGGTCATCCACTGCTGGCGAAGACCTCTTGTTGTTTGTTTCTCTGTGGGTGTTTCCACTTCTTTATCTAACATTAACTATACCAATCTAATAGCTTTACTTCAGGTTAACTCTGCCAATTACTAACAAATCTTACTGCAGCATTTAAATTGACATTGACATTTCAGATACTCATATTCTTATGAAAAAATCATCGTTATAGACAAAAACCTTTTGTTGCAGCAATCTCAAACTGTGATCCCTTAAACCTTGGATTTAATGGCGGCTACAACTGCTCCGGCGAAGGAATGGAATTCGGGTGCACTCTCTGGTGCCCGGAGGGGGTGGAATTTGACTTTCCAGTGGCAGACATGTACAACTGTGATTACGCTACTGGCGTCTGGTCCCCGTCTCCCACACCCAAGTGTGACTATGGTACGTTAATTGTCTTGACACGGCCTTTGATGTGTTTTTTAGCTTGTATATATATATATATATATATATATATATATATATATATATATATATATATATATATATATATATATATATATATATATATATATATATATATATATATTATAGTTTTATAACACCAAGGCTGGTTCAAAGATTAGCATGTTGACACTGATTCACTTTTCGGTTAACACAGTAGGCAGTAGGCAGCTACCAAACAGGGAGGTACTACCGCCTGGGAAGATATTGGAAGCATAATGTGTTGTCTAATGGTAGACCCTGCTGCCATGCATCACGAAAATTGTGACCAAGTCCCTGGTTGCTGATCTGACTTTCTGCCTCATTTACTCACAATTGCAGGGTCTCAATTGTTTCTCTTATTATTGACAACACAACAACATATATTGTTTCTCACTTTTGATATTTTTTTTTATTTTTTTATTCATGGTTCTTTATTATTATTATTATTATTGTTATTATTATTATTATTATTATTATTATTATTACTATTATTATTATTACTATTATTATTATTATTATTATTATTATTATTATTATTATTATTATTATTATTATTATTTTCATTATTTTATTTTTATTTTTTATTATTATTATTATTATTATTATTATTATTATTATTATTATTATTATTATTATTATTATTATTATTACTACTACATTTTCGCCCCCAGGCCCCGAGGTGGGTCAGTGACCTGTGTCCGGGTGGGCTAATCCTCGTAAAAAAAAAAAATCACCAGAGCAGTTAGAAGAAGAATTTATAATTTACAGACAAATGAAGCCCTATTATGTACTAAACATCCAAAACGCCACTAATTTAAACAAAGAACAAATCCAATGTTATTTGTACTGTATTTTTGATGACAACACAAAGTCACAGTACATGACTGACGTTTTGTCAACAGCAGCAGTCTCCTTGTTGGCATTCATCACCACTAACCAATACTCTGCCAAATATTCTTTTAGTTTTGTTGAAGAAATATGTGACTAATATTAATGGCCATAGTAACAATAACGGCCAGCTTTGGTGTCAAGTCACTAACATTCCCTGGATGAAACGATAAGATTGGTATAATAGAGTTAGGCACGCTGTTTAGAACCACCGACAATATAAATAGCCTAAACTTATCCCAGTGTCTTGAACTTTCCCACTGGCAACCAAGGAGTGTTTTTTTTTCCTTCTCTTCGACAGCCCCGTAGGACCCACACTCGCCAACACAGTTCTGTCTTTCCATAAAACTACATTATTCTTACACTACATTTCTTCAAACACAACGATATATAAGTCACCTCGGAGTGTGAACATGACCATAAACGCCCATATCTAGTCATTGTTAAAGAGACCAAACAAAATCTTCACTGTTTACAGAAAACTTATGTACACAGGCAGGCCTTCACTGTTCATGTTATTAAGAGAAAGCAGTTATTATATTGTTGTTTTATGCGTTGATTTAATTAAAACAAAAGCATTTTTTTCTCTGGAGAAACAATAAAAAGAACCAAAAATTACATTAACAGTTTTACTAATGATTTTTAGGTTAGGCGTAATACAAATCCGTTCCCACGGTACAGTAACAGTACAGTACAGTACAGTACAGTACGCTATAAAATAATGAATAAGATTATGGTATTAATTATATATTGCAAATCGTAAACAAAAATCTGATATAAAAGAACAATATTTAAAAAAATTCAATTAAACTTAGTAATTTACTAATACCAATAACAGTACAGTAATTACCTCCAGTCTGCCAGCATTGTAGCCATTGTGACACTCCTGACAGGCGTACGCTGCCTTCTATAACTGTGTTCTCTCCTGGTAAAATGTCATGGTTAGCCTAATATTATTACACTTACTTATCAACCTACAGTATAGCTACAGAGTTGTATCTCATAATGTTTCATGTTGTTGGACTGTTGTATTATTAACCTTGTTACGCGCTTAAAGACCTTAGTTGTTGAAGCGCAGTAATATCGACAACAATGTCCGAGTTCAATAAATAAACTCCAGAAGACAGGCACTCACACACACACACACACACACACACACTGGTTCGTCGCTCATTGCCAGCGGACTTGTTTGATGTACAGTCAGCCAAAGATGCACCGACCCCACCCTGGGTCTCGTGCTCGCAATTTTACCTGGCATACTTGAAGGAAAGAAGGCTGTATGTAAAGGTGATTGTGATTGGTGGATATATTTTCGGCTGTATAGCTGTCAGAATAAATATTAAGTAATCCAAAAGTAGCATTTTTACAATAATAAACTATTCGTCATTATTTAAGATCATGACAAGTTTCCAAATATTCGTGTATTTGCTTAAAAATGAAGAAATTATATCAATGAATTGGCACGCAGCTACACCCAGGGCTGCCACGAGATTCTCACAACAAATTTCAAGAACATACAGTATGTTCCACGTTTATTCTTGAGTGTTTCATGAAGGAATTAATGTTCTTTACAATGTGAGCATTACATAATATATTTTGACGTAAGTCAGGGAGCAGACACTGTAATAGACTCAACTGACACAGTAATGGCAAGTGGTATCCCTGCATCAGAGCCGCACGGAAGTGTGGAGAAGGGGAAAGACTGAAGTGGTCATTTTGGTGTTCTGCTAACTGAATTTGATGGTTTTATTATTAATAACTCAGTATATGAGAGAGAGAGAGAGAGAGAGAGAGAGTATACTTATATAGAGTTGATGAGGACTCAGACTCGTTGCACAACTCTCTTAACACTCTGGAATGCACCGTCAGGGTCGGGACTCTCAGGAGCCCTTAGCTCTGACAGTTTATTTCTTATAATCTCTTCTGAGAACACAATGTGGGTCAGCACTGTGTCAAACCACCTGTCCTCAAACGTAAGAAGATTGTTCGCATCCTCTCTTGTGAACACCGAGGAAAAGAATTTGTTCAACGCCTCCGATTTATCCTGGTCAGAATCTGCAAAACTACCATCTTCAAGCCTCAGGTCTGAAAAGCCTATTCGTCTTTTAAATTTGGACTTTGCGTAACGGTAAAGCGCCTTTGGGTTAAACTTGCCCTCGCTTCCAATCCGCCTCTGGAACTCTTTTTCAGCCCTTATAGACTCTGACTTTGCTTGGTTCCTGGACCTGGCATACATCCTCCTGTCCTGCTCATAATTTGTCTTAAACCCACGTCTCGAAATCCTGAGTTTTCTTCTTAACTTTGTCGACCGCCACATGGTTCATGTGTAGCGGTCTCCTTGCATTCCTGGGGGCACTGGGTTTGGTCTTAGGTTTATATTTAAAGATCAAATGGTTCACTTTACTGGCTATGATATTCAGCGAGTGTGTGTGTTTTTCTATCTTGGTGATAGTGAGTCAGGCCAGTGAATACCCCTCATCTCGTCCCTCATCCCATCGTAATTACCATTGTAATATTTGACCCTTGGCCTAGTTTTGTCATGAACCAAGTAACAGTTAAATCTGAAGGACAACATTACGTGGTGGTTGGTGTTTGTATATTTGCTTAAATAATGAAGAAAATTATATTAATGAATTGGCAACTCAACTTCAAACCACACCTGCCAAAAGATTATCAAATCAAATTTTCTTCATTATTTAAGCAAATATACGAACATTTAGAAACTTCTCATGATTTGAAATAATGATGAATAGTTTATTATAAAAATTCTACCTTTGGTTTGTTTAATATTTGTCCTGACAGTGTTACAGCCGAAAATAGATCCACCAATCACAATCACCATTACATACAACCTTACTTTACCAAGTATTGCCAGGTAAAATTGGGAGTACCAGACCCAGGGTGGGGTTGCTGGATCTTTGGCTGATGGTACAGTAAACATACCTGGAGCTGGCAGCCGCCCACCCAACAAGGGGTCACAGATCGAGGTTGAAGAAGCCTCAAGTCCAGAAAGCTGTAAGGGCAAACTTTTTCGGAGTGAGAATTGCGAACTCTTGGAACAATCTGCCAGAGAGCGTTGTGACGGCACCGAGTGTGAGCTCTTTCAAGATCAGACTTGACCAACACTGGAGCACTGGAGCAGGTTCAAATATATTTAGGAGCCAGTGCATGCCCAGCACTTGCCAATAGTGCGTAACGGAGGCGTGATCCAAGAGGCTAACGTGCCGGTCAATGGTAATGAGGATAAAATTTAAAACGTAAAAAGTATGCACAATTACAGTCCTTTAGAACAGTGATTCTCAAACTGGGGTCCGCGAAAAGTTTTTGAGAAATAGTGCGTTTAACGTTTGTGAGAGATTTGGCGATTCCAATTCGCAGGATATTTTGGATTTGGGTTAAAATGAACAAATGCTCTTGACTATGATTTATTCTTTGATTATTGACAATATTTGTATGCGTCATGGTATATAAGGGATCCTTGGGTGAAAAAAGTTTGAAAACCCCTGCCTTAGAAAACACAGAAAAAAATATTTGTGGCAGCAATAATGTTCCTCGGTTTCTTCCAAGCACTTATTCCTGCTGCTTGCCTCTGTTTTTTTTCAATGTCTTACTCTGTACTGGTTATTTGTTAGGTGTTTTATGAAAGGATTTACAGGTAGATAGGAAATACTGTACTGGTAGATAGAGAGATACTGTACAGGTAGATAGAGAGATACTGTACAAGTAGATAGAGAGATACTGTACAGGTAGATAGAGAGATACTGTACAGGTAGATAGAGAGATACTGTACAGGTAGATAGAGAGATACTGTACAGGTAGATAGAGAGATACTGTACAGGTAGATAGAGAGATACTGTACAGGTAGATAGAGAGATACTGTACAGGTAGATAGAGAGATACTGTACAGGTAGATAGAGAGATACTGTACAGGTAGATAGAGAGATACTGTACAGGTAGATAGAGAGATACTGTACAGGTAGATAGAGAGATACTGTACAGGTAGATAGAGAGATACTGTACAGGTAGATATGGAGATACTGTACAGGTTGATATAGAGATACTATACAGGTAGATACTGTACAGGTAGATAGAGAGATACTGTACAGGTAGATAGAGAGATACTGCACAGGTATATAGAGAGATACTGTACAGGCAGATAGAGAGATAGGTATTAGCTACATACATTTGAGAATCTTTAGAGTCTGTAAGTTAAAGATTCTCCCGTGTGGTGAGAACTTGTCCTCGCTATTGACCACAGATATAGTTGACGGAGCCTTAGTTAAAATCATCACCATATGTTGCTTGAAGGGAAGGATTTAACTTGGTCAGGATCTTCTCTTAATGAAAAGTTCAATGCTATATATGGCTTTGTCTTGCCTCAAGTTGCAGTACGGTAAACTTCTTTCCTTGTTGTAAGATAATTTTTTAACATGACTTTGTTTTAGGAAGGTTAGTTATCAGTATCGCTACTTTATTACCTTTTTATCAACTGTTAAGAAGCGATGATGTGATGCTTTTATTAATTTCATTAAAATTATCAGTTGGACACGTGTTATCAGTTGGATACGTGTTATCAGTTAAATACGTGTTATCAGTTAAATACATGTTATCAGTTTGATACGTGTTATCAGTTGGATACGTGTTATCAGTTAAATACGTGTTATCAGTTAAATACATGTTATCAGTTTGATACGTGTTATCAGTTGGTTCCATGTTATCAGTTAGATATGATATAGTTGGATAAGTGTTATCAGTTGAATACGTGTTATCAGTTAGATATGTTTTATCAGTTGAATACGTGTTATCAGGTTTCTTTTCGATGACCCCCATCCCTATTGATGTAACTCCGGGAGAATTTCCTTCTGTGTTGGGCATGAAACAGTCTGTCAGCACCACCACCCAGAAGATCAAGAAGCTACCAGGCTCTTGCTTCACCTGGTCTGGCTCACACTACAAGTCCTTCGATGGTAAAGTGTACAGGTGAGGACTGAAAGTATTTCTTGTTATGGCACAACGTTACTGACGGTTTAGTCATTTTGTTTTTATGGAAACAATTGGCAGTAACAGTTATGTAGATTTCACTGAGTAATTTTCAGAAACTTACGAATGTTGATAGACATCTGAAGGTGCTGGTTACTATTTTGCAGAAAGTAAAACTTGTTATTTTTTTACTTGCTTTAAACACAGTGTACGCGATTTGGTGCACCAACTTGTCATAACGTGCACCAGACCACCATGATTAAAATAATAGTGATGAGCGTGACGTCATTCAACATGTGACGGAGCAGTGTCGTATAATGATGTAGTGTGGAGTCACGAGCCGGTCCTTCCCGTACACCTGACCCTGGCCTTGATCCCCTGTAGTATCATCTCTATTTGTTCATTTATCCTCCATGATCGAGTATTAGAGTCCAAGGCTTAAAAGAACAAAAACAGGTATATTTAACAAAGAAATATTCATTGTAAAAGAGCACTTTGTCACGAGCCTCAAACACAAGGTAAATTATTAATATTCCAACTTTTTTTTTAAATATTATATCATGTTGTCGTTGGTGAGGTTAAAAGTGACAAACAGTGAGGTTAACGTGTGTCCCTTAGTGTGGATGCCTCTAGTTGATACACTTGTACAGTATATGTTGTACATACAGTAACTTACTGCTGCTATAAATTCATTATGGTTGACAAGTCAGGTAATCGTCCCAAATTGTGTTCGATTGTTGGCAGTTCTGGACACAGCTGGTAAGAAGTCTGCAAATTAAAGGAACATTTATATTTAGGTTTTTAATACCCCGTTAATGCTTCCAATAATTGTTTCAATTTGCTGCCTGTTAAGTAAAGGTGTTTACTAGCTGGGTATATACAGTATATGCCTGTTATACTTCCACTAATTATGTGACAGAAATATAAACACATTTTCTAGTGTCTTGTTGAAATTAAGATGATATATGATATATTCTCCGGAAAATTTTAAAACCGAACCATAAAAAGCCTCCACAACATTAACACGTGTTGTGTGTTGTCACCCTTGGTCAGCTTTAAGAGCTCGTGCCCGTACACGCTGCTGCAGGACTCCACCCACGGCACCTTTACTGTCAACCTGCAGACTGAGGACGGCTGTGAAGGACCTTCCTGTCGCAAGGTCATCCAGATTTTCCTGGAGGATGATCAGTATGTTCTTCAGGCCTCAGGTGAGTTACCTACATAATATAAACCTAACTGGATAGTAATCAAAACAAAATTAGTTTTGTCAATACAATTTTCACTTCCACGCAGACTGACCGAAAATGTCACAGACTACATTAACACACACTTCACTAAACCTTCCTCACCTGAGAAGCATTTCCACCAGTCAGATCAACATAGTGGCAGTTTGTAGCCTAAAGGACACTATAATAATAAGGTGTAATTATTGATATACCGAACCATCCTTTATCTTATATGACATTTGAGATACATAGCCAATTGAACATCCTTCCCTCACTTGGCCCTCCTTCCCTCACTTGGCCATCCTTCCCTCACTTGGCCATCCTTCCCTCACTTGACCATCCTTCCCTCACTTGACCATCCTTCCCTTACTTGGCAATCCTTCCCTCACTTTACCATCCTTCCCTCACTTGACCATCCTTCCCTTACTTGGCCATCCTTCCCTCACTTGACCGTCCAATCCTCAGTTAGCAATCCTTCCCTCACTTGACCATCCTTCCCTCATTTGACCGTCCATTCGTCACTTGGCCAGCCTTCCCTCACTTGACCGTCCATTCCTCACTTGGCCAGCTTTCCCTCACTTGGCCAGCCTTCCCTCACTTGGCCAGCCTTCCTTCATTTGGCCAATTTTCCTCACCTGGCTATCCTTTCCTTACTTGGCCAGCTTCCATCATCTAGACACCCTTACATCACCTGACCATCATTCCTTCACCTGGCCATCATTCCTTCACCTGGCTATCCTTTCTTCACCTAGTCCTTGCTGTTTTTCCCTCTTTCTCTCCACTGCCTACCTGTCATCTCTCCCTCCTTACTTCCCCTGTCCATCTTCCATCCTGTTGGACTAATTAAAGCGACTCATCCTCACAGAGTCAGGACAGCCGAGCCTGGCGTACCGGAACACCAACCTGGCGATCCCGGGGCAGATGAACGGCGTTGTGTCGGAACGAGTAGCGCATTACGTGGTGGTCAAAGTGTCTGGATTCGGCCTCACCATCAAGTGGGACATGAAGGTAATACTCCACCTCCTCTTGTCTGGGTCTTACTGTATGGGGGTCCTACTGTGGGTTGGTATTATTGTGTGGGGTCTTACTGTGTGGGAGGTCCTATTGTGGGTTGGTCTTATTGTGTGGGGTCTTACTGTGTGGGGGTCCTACTGTGGGTTGGTCTTATTGTGTGGAGTCTTACTGTGTGGGAGGTCCTACTGTGGGTTGGTCTTATTGTGTGGAGTCTTTACTGTATGGGAAGTCCTACTGTGGGTTGGTATTATTGTGTGGGGTGGTCTTTCTGTGTGGGAGGTCCTACTGTGGGTTAGTCTTATTGTGTGGGTCTTACTATGTGGGGGTCCTACTGTGGGTTGGTCTTAATGTGGGGTCTTACTGTGTGGGGGTCCTACTGTGGGTTGGTCTTATTGTGTGAGGTCTTACTGTGTGGGGTCTACTGTGGGTCGGCATTATTGTGTGGGGTCTTACTGTGTGGGAGGTCCTACTGGGTTGGTCATGTTGTGGGGTGTGGGAGGTCCAGCTGTGGGTTAATCTTATTGTGTGAGTCTTACTGTGTGGGGTCCCACTGTGGGGGTCTTACTGTGGGTTGTCATATTGTGTGGGGTCTTACTGTGGGGTGCTACTGTGGGTAGGTCTTATTGTGTGGGGTCTTACTGTGTGGGGTCCTACTATGGGTTGATCTTATTGTGTGGGTCTTACTGTGTGGGGCCCTAATGTGGGGACCCACTGTGGGGTCCTACTGTGGGGGTCCTTACTGCATGAGGGTCCTATGGCGTGGCTGTTCAACAATGTGGGGGTTATACAGTGTGTGGTCCTGTGTGGGGGTCCTATGATGTAGGTTTTACAGTGTGGGGTCCTACTGTGTGGAGTCCTACTGTGTGGGGTCCTAATGTGTGGGGGTCCTACGGTGTGGGGACCTTACAGTGTGGGGTCTTACAGTGTGGGGGTCTTACTATGTGGGGTCTAACAGTGTGGGGTCTACAGTGTGGGGGTGTTACCGTGTGGCTTAGTGTGGGGTAGGGTTTTACTGTGTGGGATCTTAGTGTGTGGGGGGGGGTGTGGGGTGGGTCTTTCTGTTGGGGTCTTACTGTGTGGGGTATTACTGTGTGGGGGTCTTACTGTGTGGGGTCCTTCTGTGTAACGGTCTTACTGTGTGGGGGTCTTACTTTTGTAGGGGGTCCTACTGTGTGGGGGTCTTACTGTGTGGGGGTCCTACTGTGTGGGGGTTCTACTGTGAGGGGTCTTACTGTATAGGGATCCTACTGTGTGGGGGACTTAATGTGTGGTGTCCTACTGTGCAGGGGTTTTACTGTGTGGGGTCCTACTGTACAGGGGTGAATTGGCCCTTTAACCGTTGATTCTTGATGAATAATGGGGCTGGAACATGTAAAAGTATACCGGGTTTTAGTAAGAAACCCAACTCTCCTTTCTTCTATTTATTTAGAAAAAATATTATATACAGTTCCAAGTGTATATCACAGTAACTTAATCACTGTAGCTATGAGTGTTAAATGAGGACGGAGGCTATATTATATAGCTCTTCTAAAATACGTCTTGTTGGGGTGAGGGGTTGAGTAAGAGTGCCAGCAGTAGCCGGCATCTATGTGCTGACCTAGCATTCTTAAGGCCGCTCCTCAAGTAACTTACCCATCACGTGATGTGACCATGCCACCTCATAGCCAGGGGAAAGTTACAGGGGGTGATATGATTATATAAACTAAATGTACTGCCCGGACATTTATAGTATATAAACTAAGGGGCTAATTCATCGCTCGGTCACCACCTTCCGAGCTTACACAAAGAATTAACTAGTCTCGTAGAATACATCCTATACATAACCAAACCATGTTACAAACATATGTGTAGACACTAAGCTGGGGACTCTGGAACCATAGGTTCACTAATTACTGGGGTCCTAGACGTAAGTGTCTTATGGGATAGTATATTATGTACAATATTCAACTTGGAAGATACTGACTTATAATAACAAAATAAAAATATCACTGCCAGAATTAGCACAATAGTGGGAATGGTTAAACTTGGTATTGCAAAATCCCATGAAAAATAAAATGGCAAATGATCTTCTAAATTAACAAACTGCGACTCTTTTAAGTAAGAAATAATTTTCAACTTCTCTGAGACAATATTGAGTTTACTAATTGGTAAATTAGGAACTTGAAACAATGGAATTAAATCTGAAGTAAGATTTAAATTAAATGCAAAATGCTGATGAGAAGGCAAGGTCTTCAATGAACTACAAGTTATTTCACAGTAATCCGGAGCCTTGTAATAACCATTCACAATCTAATTGTTTACCACCATCTTGGCACTTTAAAATGACGTTAGTTTCATCAGGAAAGAAAAAAATGTTGCACATAGTGCAGATGCGCATGAAACACAGTTTTCCTAGAAATCGGCGTATAACTACATTGTGTTAGCACTGTGCATAAGTTAGTTTGTATGACTTCCAATTCACATATCCCTTCTGCAGCAGGAATAAATGCGAATACATAGGCTGGACATTCGTGTAAATGTAAATATGATGATTTACACCGTGATAATACCCTAGGATCATCCAATGCTAACAAGGTATATTCTTCATTAATTAGCAGAAGTTCCTTTGGTCTATCCAGAGTATACAGTGTTTCATTAAAATACAAAGGAAAGGACTCCAAATGACATGCATTAAATTTATGTTTCCATATCATAGGTATGTGGATAAGAAGAGCATTGTACCGGAGAGTTAACTCCAAAAGAGGGTAATAATACTCTACCTTATGATCTGGGAAAATTGGAGTTAAATGATAAGTCAACTTGGCTATTTGCCATGCTTCAAGAAGAGTCTTCACAGGCACAAGCCTTGCATCCACTCGTCCTAACTCTGCATCCACAATGCTTGCGATCAGTTCATTTTTGTTAGCCCAAGATAAATGGTTAGACTAAAAAATAATTGCATTAACTTTTGATTCCAAGGCACTAAATGCATGAAAAGATTGAGTTATAACACAATTTTGTTTAAGAACAGCTTGATCTAAAATGTTCATGCGGTCTCCTAGTTTAGCTACATCCTCGGCAGTCGCTGTGCTTTGTATAAAACCAACAAAATTAAACAATCCTCGCTTTCTTCGCGTTTGGCAACTCACTTTCTTTACATGATCATTCTGGGACGCTGGAATAGTGTATCCAATTGCGACGAGAATCTTGTGAAGGGTTCTGAGACGAAGTAGTTGAAGATCAACAGTTTGTGATACCATTGCCGAACAGTTTGGATTCTTACGGAGATCATCAAGGATAGTCAAAGCTGTCTGTAGTTGAGCATCAATGGATTCCATCTGGCGTGGAAGCTTGAGCAGTCCATGCAATTCATATTTTTTGTTCACCACGTCTTCAACAATGAAAACGCGTCCAAGGGGTGCAACAAGCTCACCTGGCTTAAGGACATCCGTGGAAATATCCGTCAACATAGAGGTGCCACAAAGCAGTAGGAGCAGTACAATGATGATCCAAGCCGGGAGGCGTCAGGATCAGGAGTCCCTCACACAGTCACAGATGACTTCAAGGTCGCGGTGAGTGGGTCGGTGAGTGGGTCAATGTCCTCCATGTTGATAGTAGAGCAGATGATATCTTCATTGCGTAGCAACTGATTGAAGCTTCAAAATGGCGACGGTTGAGTCATTTAACGACGGGTAGTCCACCAAGAGCTGGAGAGTTGCTGGGTTCACTGGGAACGTTCACCACGGGTGAGAGTCAGGGTCCTTCTGTGTGTGACAAACCTATGGTAGCCCTGTATATATCGGACTCGCTAAGTAAACACCACTGCAGTCACGAACAGCCAAAACACGCTGTTTAAACAACTTGTGATGTCTAAATGGTGTAAGGCCCACGTGTTACACAACCTCGAAGCACGAAGGTATGTGGCAACATTGTAAGAACCAATGGGGCTGTTACTGGGGGTATCCGCTCACAGGATGTTGAATGTTGACGCAACAAATTCTTCTCCTCCACGCCTAGTTTGCAGCTTGCCATACAGGGGTGTTGCCGACTTGCCACAATAGGTAAAAGTTATCAATAACTCATTAATGGTTAATAAAAAAAAAACTTGTACATTTCTTTGGATGACAAAATAAAAAACGCTCAACATATAACGTCTCACTACGGGATATTATAATACACTTTGGAAGAAGATAACATGTCACTGTTTTCTCTTCTTTTTGGAAAAACACTGATGACTTGTTCTGTAGAATATATATATATATATATATATATATATATATATATATATATATATATATATATATATATATATATATATATATATAAACAGGAATTTCGTTATCCGTTTCCACCGCTGCCACCTTTGAACTGGCCCCTTAACTGTTGATTCTTAATGAGTTAATGGGGCTGGAACATGTAAAAGTATATAGGGTTTTAGTAGCGAATCCCAGCTGTGTTTTCTTCAATTTATTAAGCAAATATATTATATATACACTTCCAAGTGTATATCACAGTAACTTAATCACTGTAGCTATGAGTGTTAAATGAGGACGGAGGCTATGTTAAATAGTTCTTCTAAAATACGTCTTGTTGGGGTGAAGGGTTGTGTAAGAGTACCAGCAGTAGCCGGCTAATATGTGCTGACCTAGCATTCTTAGGGCCGCTCCTCAAGGAACTTACCCATTACGTGATGTGACCATGTCACCTCATAGCCAGTGGAATGTTAAAGGGGGCGATATGATTATATAAACTTAATGTACTGTCCTGACATTTATATAAAAAGGGGTTAATATAGGGATCTTACTGTGTGGGGGTCCTACTGTGTGGGAGTCCTACTATGTGGGGGTCCTACTGTGTGGGGGTCCTACTGTGTGGGAGTCCTACTGTGTGGGGTTCTACTGTGTATGGGGTCTTACTGTTTGGGGTCTTACTGTGTTGGGTTCTACTGTGTGGAGTCTTACTGTGTGGGGTCTTTGTTTATAGGGGTCCTTATGTGTTGGGGTCCTTCTGTGTGGGTTCCTACTGTGTTGGGGTCTTACTGTGTTGGGGGTCTTACTGTGTTGGGGTCTTACTGTGTGGGGGTCCTACTGTGTTGGGGTCTTACTGTGTTGGGTTCTACTGTGTAGGGTCCTGATGTTTGGGGGTCCTACTGTATGGAGGTCTTATAGTGTGGGGTCTTACTGTGTTGGGGATCTTACTATGTTGGGACCCTACTGGGGGGGGTCCTTCTGTGTGGGGGGTCCTACTGGGTGGGGTCTTACAGTATGGGGGTCTTACTGTGTTGGGGTCTTACTGTGTTGGGGTCTCACTGTGTTGGGGTCTTCCTGTGTGGGGTCTTACTGTGTGGGGTCTTACTGTGTTCGGTTCTACTGTGTTGGGGTCCTAATATGTGGGGTTCCTACTGTGTGGGGGGTCCTTGTTTAAAGGGGTCCTTGTGTGCTGGGGTTCTTCTGTATGGGGTCCTACTGTGTGGGAGGTCCTACTGTATGGAGTCGTATTCTGTATGGGGGTCCTACTGCGTGGGATCCTACTGTGTGGGGATCCTACTGTATGGGGTCTTACTCTGTGTGGGTCCCAGACAATTTCACAAATGAGACGTATTAGATATAGAGATGCATTATGACCATGTACAGTACAGTGAATTTAATTGTTGTTTGTTAATGAAAAAGGAATGTTCTTGCTTGACAGAACTTGGTAGTGACGGAGATCAGCGAGTTGTTGTGGAACAGGACGTCAGGGCTGTGTGGTCGACGTGATGGCAACATGGACAATGATTGGAGTTATGCTGACGGTACTCAGGAGACCAACATGAACTCATACCTACAGGCCTGGCAGGCCAAGACCCTCGGTGGTTAGTTGTCTACTTATGTTTTATTAATTGCTGTCAGATAAATATATAGATTTCGTATATTGATGAGACTGATCTGTTTATTCTTTGATTTCTGATTACGACGGAAGGGCCTATTGGTTCCACCCTGATTGAGTGGGGGAGGAGGAACCACTTCTCTCCTGCCGGTGGTACACACATCCTTACAGCACATTTTGCTTATCTTTTCTTCAATCATTGAGAAACACCTTTAACTCTCACCATTGCCACTAGCTGGTGCTGAGCCTGGCTGGAATTATGAATAAAAACAGTCATTGGATAAATTCATGTTTTAAGTTACTAGAAGACCTGCGCATGGCCCTCATGGTCGTCTGTACTCTGCTCATTGATTACTGGGTGCAAACATCCTCGGTCACCTCGGGCGGCTGGTGGCTCACACCCTCCTCTTCCTCTCCTTTCTATGCCCTGTACGTCACCAACATGCAGTTACATTCAGTACATGTTAGAGACTTGAGCTGATAGCATTTATATTATAATTTTGATTTTACATTAGACAAATTACCAATGGAGTTTAACATTTTTATATTATGACTCCTCAAAATAAACTTTTGAAGTAAGAAAGAGTTTGAGTATCTCAGAAATGGTACATAAGAAAAACATAAGAAAATAATGAGTCTGCAATAAGCCGGTTGGCCTGTGCATGGCAGCTCCTGTCGAGAGTTACTACTACTCTCTATCATCCATGAATCTATCTAGCCTCCTTTTAAAACTCTCCAGCGTTCCAGCACTTACTATAAAGTTCCTAAGCTTGTTCCACTCGTCCACCATCCTATTTGTAAACCAGTTCCTTCCTATCTCCCTCCTAAACCTAAACTTATCCAACTTAAATCCGTTGCTTCGAGTCCTATCCTGCTCGGATATTATAAGAACTTTATCTATATCTCCTTTATTGATTCCTTTCACCCACTTAAATACTTCTATCATATCTCCCCGCACTCTTCGTTCTTCTAGGGAATGCAAGTTTAGTTTCTTTAATCTATCTTGATATGGAAGGTTTCTAAGTCCCGGAATCATTTTCGTCATTCTTCGCTGCACCGACTCTAGTGAATATATATTCATTCTATAATAAGGGCACCAGAACTGAACAGCATAATCGAGGTGCGGCCTGACTAGCGCAAGATATAGTTGCAATATGACCTCCGCACCCTTATTACTTACACTTCTAGATATAAAACCTAATACTCTGTTTGCCTTATTTCGAACATTAATGCACTGTTTTCTAGGCCGTAGGTCCGTGCTTACAAGCACCCCTAAGTCTCTCACAAGTTGACTTCTCTAGGTTGATGTTGTTTAGGCTGTGTACAGTGACAGTATTTGTTCTTCCAATATTAAGTACGCTGCACTTGCTGGTGTTGAATTTCATTTGACATTTTTCTGACCACTCCTGCAGTTTATTTAAATCCTCTTGTAGTGCAGTTGCATCCTGCACTGAATTAATCTGCCGCCCTATTTTGATGTCATTCGCAAACTTGCTTATGTCACTGCTGATCCCAGTATCTAGATCGTTTATATAGATTATGAACAAGAGTGTGCCTAGTACTGACCCCTGGGGAACCCCACTGGTTACACAGCCCCACTCAGATTTAATACCATCTACGCTGACCCTCTGTGTTCTATCGGTGAGTCATGATTTTAGCCAATTTAAAACTTTCCCGTCAATACCATGAGCCTTAACTTTTCTCAGAAACCTCTGATGCGGTACTCTGTCAAACGCTTTGCTAAAGTCTAAGAAATAACATCGTAATTTTCGTCATTATCTGCTACTTCGAAGACTTTCCTAAAAAACGTCAGCAGATTTGTTAGACAAGATTTTCCCTTTGTAAACCCATGTTGAGAGTCATAGATTAATTTGCTTTTCTCCAAATGCGATCGGATGCTATTTGCTATAATTGATTCAAGAAATTTCTCCACTACTGATGTCAAACTAATCGGCCGGTAATTTGATGTTGATGCTCTGTCTCCTTTTTGAATATGGGTACTACATTTGCCTGTTTCCACAAGAATGGCACAATTCCCGTGTCAAATGATTTTGTAAATAAATTTACGAGGGGTCCACTAATCTGTTCCTTTCACTCTTTCAAAGCTCAAGGGATTTTGTCTTCTTTAATTTATTTATGTTCTTATGAACATCCTCTTTTCTAAAAGTGATATTCTTTAATTTCTCTTCTTCATTTCCCATAAATATCAGTTCCACGTCTGGCATTTCCTCATGAATTTCTTCTGTGAAAACTGATAAGAAGTCGCTGTTTAATGCTTTGCTTATTTTCTCAGTATCATCGATCACTTCCCCTCTCTCTGACTTTAAAGGTCCCACTTTGTCCGTGACCTTTGTTCTATTTACCTAGAAAAATCCCTTGGGATTCACCTTGGATTCTCTTGCTATCTTGATTTTGTAGTCCCTCTTTGCCTTCCTTACAGTTTTCTTAACATTCCTAGATAGTTCATTATACCTAGGAGGAGATGGGGAAGGGAAGGGCTCAACAGACCTGGCTGGCAGCTGTCTCCAAGGTCAAGAGACCACGGCCGCGTTAGCGGGCAGCGTCCACTACACACGTCCTTACTCTATGAAGGCTGAAGGAAGTGTGTGTGTGTGTGTGCGTGTCTTTTTCTTTATATTCCTGCTATATACATGTTAATCTATAGTGCTTATGGTTATTGTAATAACTATTCTCGTCCACGTAGATCAGTGTCTTGATCGTCCGAACACCAAACACCCGTGTGGCCGTCGGAGCATGGCCTCGGAGGCAGACAAATTCTGCTATCGTCTGCGTGATGACCAGAGATTTTCTCAGTGCCGCCAGGTAAGTGGCTTCATCCAAAGTCTAAATATACCAAATCAACCCACTTCGAGCCGAAAATTCTTCCTTTGCCGGGCATGATATCATAAGGTCAGCTACCCCGGAGGTGGCCTGGGGTGGAACCTCAATTACCCGCTGGCCTTCGTGGTGTGAAGGTCTGAGATAATACCTGATAAATGTGCCGTATCTGGATGCATATCAAATTTCAGATTACATGATAAAAGTTGAGATTTCATCAATTTCTAAAGGGTGAAAAAAGAGAGAAAAATGGATTTTATTATACCTGCAGCAAATATATAGGGTGCAACAGAAGGAAGGGCAATACGTGAGAGCCATTGGCAGGTTTAAATTTATATCCCATAAAGTCTAACTTTCAGCCAGGAAACAGGATATGGAGAAACAAGTACCTATTTGTTGCTTGAAATTGTTGTATAGCTTAGTCATCTGTAATATATCTGGTGACCATATTGATAAATTGAAAACCTATACACATATTTACTTGTATTCACTGATTTACCTTAATAGCTTGGAGAGAGAGAATGATGATAATTATAATCATTAACAATCTTTATTATTTTCTTTAACCATTTATTTAATTCTTGTATTCTTTCTGTTCTCCCCCAATAAATAGCTAGCCCATATGCCTATGATTACTTAATTGCTTTTACGCTGATACTGGCAGCAAAATTAATGAGCACAAATAATAATAAAGAGAGGAAGAAGAGGATTAATAATAATAATAATAATAATAATAATAATAATAATAATAATAATAATAATAATAATAATAATAATAATAATAATAATAATAATAATAATAATACTAATAATAATACTAATAATAATAATAATAATAATAATAATAATAATAATAATACATTTTTAATAATAGGAATAGGAATATCATAAAATTAATGATTACATGAGAAGTTCAAGTGGCTAACTGGTAGATAGTGTGTTAGGGAATGAGAAGATTAGGATGCATGGCAAGAATATCTAATAATACAGTGGGGTGGTCTCATCCGAGATAATATACGAGTCCTCCCTTACTTCCGTTTTCTACCACTACGGCCAACGACATCACATAATTAGCTCCGCCTCCTGTGCATGGGTTGACTTGGTCTAATTAGACTTTGGCTTCACCTTAGCAATGAATTATTCTCACGTAGAGACCTCAGATACCTGTAGCCCCCAGGTGGTGGTACAGGTAAACTAGAGCACGTTGGTACTGTACCTGTAGCCCCCAGGTGGTGGTACAGGTGAACTAGAGCACCTTGGTACTGTACCTGTAGCCCCCAGGTGGTGGTACAGGTGAACTAGAGCACCTTGGTACTGTACCTGTAACCTCCAGGTGGTGGTACAGGTGAACTAGAGCACCTTGGTACTGTATCTGTAGCCCCCTGGGGGTGGTACAGGTGAACTAGAGCACCTTGGTACTGTACCTGTAACCTCCAGGTGGTGGTACAGGTGAACTAGAGCACCTTGGTACTGTACCTGTAGCCCCCAGGTGGTGGTACAGGTGAACTAGAGCACCTTGGTACTGTACCTGTAGCCCCCAGGTGGTGGTACAGGTGAACTAGAGCACCTTGGTACTGTACCTGTAACCTCCAGGTGGTGGTACAGGTGAACTAGAGCACCTTGGTACTGTATCTGTAGCCCCCAGGTGGTGGTACAGGTGAACTAGAGCACCTTGGTACTGTACCTGTAGCCCCCAGGTGGTGGTACAGGTGAACTAGAGCACCTTGGTACTGTACCTGTAACCTCCAGGTGGTGGTACAGGTGAACTAGAGCACCTTGGTACTGTACCTCTAGCCCCCTGGTGGTGGTACAGTGAACTGGAACACCTTCGTACTGTACCTGTAACCCTCAGTGTGACGAGGTGAGAGCTACATACGTCGTTGACATACGTCCACTTACCAATAAGGACAAGAAGCTGTAAGACGACCAACAACCACAGTAAACATTTTCTTCACTTTAACAATAAGTGTTGTCACAGCCCTTGGTTGACGGTGGTGATGGTCACAGCTTTACTATACTTGCAGTTATACGTATGTAAGACACTGATCATGTTGTGTGATGCTGACAGGTGGTGGATGTGGAGCCGTACATCAACGCCTGCCGCTGGGACTACTGTGACTGTGACTCCCAGGACCGTGAGGCGTGTGCTTGTGAGTCCTTCGCCGCCTTCTACAAGGAATGTACAAGCGTTGGGAGTGACATTCCTGGTGGCTGGCGCTCACATGACCTCTGCCGTAAGTTGATCATAAGATTGCTGAGAAAATCTATTTATTTTCTTAATTTCCCCACGACAGTGATCACTGGATGGCTGCCAACTTTACTCTCCACATCTTGATAGTTTTACGGTCATCTTCCACATTGGTGTTGGTTACCTTTGATTATGAACAGAATGGTGTCACAGCTTCCATCATATAAATCTGAAACAGATCTTACGGCTGGTTGCTCTTCCGGTCACCAATCAACTTGGACAGAGTTTATGACCAAGAGTTGAAGATATTAAGCGACCTCATATAGATACAGTATAATGAACTGCTGTAAATGGTGTTTTTGAGGTCATTTGTCACCTATATATATAATAAACAGTATTAAAGTTACACACAAACAAGAAGAACTATTTTACTGTGATGTATCTTTCACAGGTTTGTAATCAGATTATAATTGTCAATCACGCCAGTGAAAAAGTTCGTGTGAACTTAATAATTCTTGCAGGGATGGGCGGATTTACTTCAACAATGGCAGGGACATTTAACCCTTGCAAGAACTCATAAGAGTTTGGTAATGGACGTGAAGTGGTTATTTTAACCAGGGCGCTGCCGGCGTCCTGGGACATATTGTGTGTTCAGCTTATGTAACTCAAACATGTATTGTCCTATTTGTATCAAAGCCTTATAATTAGTGTCTCCAGACCTACGATGTTTACTCGCAGGTGTACTTACACCGATCACGGCGGCCCGGCCATATTGAAAATCCCTGGGTGGAGGAAAGGTTTAAATTTGATGGGTTTGTGTATACTTGGTTTTGCAGTTACCAGTAGCAGCAAGGCAGATAATGCTCAAAGACACATTCTTCCGAAACGGTACTGTTTCTGAAGATTATTTAGTATGCTAACAGAATTTCTAAGGATATCGGAACAATACATAAACATGACTGAAGAAAGTGTATGAAAGTATTGTGCACCTAAGAATGTGGGAGCTCACACGCTGTAGGGAGAACCCGTAATCACTGTTGGTCACACCTACCTCACCTCATTCTCAATTTTGTAATCCTGTACAGTACAGTAGGTTCAGTACTTACATATTCTATATTAAAATACTGCAGACGACCTGATAATGCGTATAAAATACATTTTTGTGGTTACTTAGGAATATTAACAGGATTGTACACATATTGCTGTACCAAGATTTATCGAAGTGTTTCTGATGTCAACAGTGACGGAGTGTGGGCCAGGCAAAGTGTACAACCCGTGCATGTCGACCATTCAGTCCCGGTGTGGCCAACCCTCTGATGGTGTGGCTCCTGACTTCTGTGTGGAGGGTTGCGACTGTCCCGAGGGCCTGATGCTGCATCAGGACCTGTGTATCCCTGCAAGTGACTGTCCCTGTACGTATCGCAACAAGGAATACAGCGCCGGAGACACCATCCCCAATGACTGCAACTCTTGGTGAGTTAAGAGCGGGGAAGACACCTGGCCTATTTTGTCTGCCAGTACTGGATAAACACTTCGATGATGCCCTGTGTGTCCATTGTCAATCTATATATATTTTTAGAAAAAAACTTTGTCATTAGATAAATAATGACGTATGTATTGTACAGTAATAATGAAGGCAGGTAAACACCCTTCTCAATTAGCCCCTTTGATGAATGCATAACTAACTAATTGACTGTATATTGTACAGTTTTACGCAACTCTGTTCTGGGATGATATCACTGTAAAACAACTATGTATTATAATTCTGGTTTGTAAAAGGTGCAGTAGAAAACTAGATGTTGTTCAGCGTTACAAGTTCATTAATAGACATATCGTCATATAAAATCATTCATTTTATCGCAATTTTTGCAGTACATGTCTGGGGGGAGAGTGGGTGTGTACGGAGGTGAAGTGTGGCTCCCGCTGTGCTGCTGTGGGTGACCCTCACTACACCACCTTTGATGGCCGCCGCTTTGATTTCATGGGCAAGTGTTCCTACTACCTGGTGCAGGGGCAGGACTTCAGTATCGAGGCTGAGAACACCCCGTGTGCTGGTGCCGTCTCTGAGGTAAGTACCCTTTTCCTCCTCCTATCCCGTTACCTTCTCACACTAGTGAAATCAGAGCCAATGAAGTGTGTTTGATATAACTCTACAATGGTTGGTGGTGATGGAGGAACTTACCCTTAAGGACTGACCGTTTTCATGTTGACACTACGTCAAGTTATAGATTTTAATTTCATGAAGTGTTAACCAGTGACAGGGTTGGGTACTTTGAAGTGTTAACCAGTGACAGGGTTGGGTACTTTGAAGTGTTAACCAGTGACAGGGTTGGGTACATTGAAGTGTTAACCAGTGACAGGGTTGGGTACTTTGAAGTGTTAACCAGTGACAGGGTTGGGTACTTTGAAGTGTTAACCAGTGACAGGGTTGGGTACTTTGAAGTGTTAACCAGTGACAGGGTTGGGTACTTTGAAGTGTTAACCAGTGACAGGGTTGGGTACTGTGAAGAATAATGTAATACCTCCGGTTTCTATCATACCTAAAAAAAAGTGTTTCATATTCATAACTAAAGAAGTGAATGATGACAACTTTGTCCTACATTAGTTGTACGGAAACTCCATATGTAAGACACATCCTACCTAGGGGCCCAGAACGCCCAGAGTCATTATAAACAAACTGGTGTTGATCAAAGTCCACTACAGTTGAGGCTGTGAGTTAATTCTCTGTATTATGAGAGAACCAATGACTGTACTGTACAGAGAAGCCTTGAGCGACCAGTCAAACAAATTAATCGTATGCAATGTTATTTATTCATAATATTAACAAATACAGCGTATTAAAACGTGTTTATTACATGCATATGATGAGTTAAACTTGGAATTTGAATACAATAAACTCTTGGACACAATTTTGTTATTATGAATATTGCAAAAGGTTTTCTTTGTTTTTTGCGTTTTATTGCTGATAATTAACAACCTGGATCTAGGCCACAAGTTGTTGTGACTTTTACTTTTATCCTCTTGGGTAGACGGTCACGTCTCTTACGCACTGAACCTGCTCCAGTATTGGTCAAGTCTGGTCTTGAAAGAGCTCATACCCGGTGCCGTCACAACACTCTCAGGCAGATTGTTCCAAGAGTTCACAACTCTCACTCCAAAAAAATTTGCACTCACAGTTTTCTGGACTTGTGGTTTCTTCAACCTTGAGCTGCAACCCCCTTATTGGGGGGTCGTCCGCCAGCTCTAGGTATGGACACTCGACTGGGTAGTGCCCTTTGAAATATTTGTACACTTCAATTAGGTCACCCCTTGACCGTCTGTAGTATAAGTTTAGCAGTTGCAGGCGCTCTACTCTCTCTGGATAACTGAGGTGCCGAAGTGCTGGCACCAGTCTGGTTGGTAAGGTTCACCTGGTCACTATCATTTAGATTATTGTTGCGGTAATGTGTTTAAAGTCCTCCACCTCAGCCTCAGTAAGTCTAGTTCCTCGTCAGTGGTTACCCCCGGCAGATGGTTCTTAATCGAGATACAAAAACAGTTAATTATAATATTAAGTCAACAAGTACTCTTAACATACAGGGTGTTTACGAAGTCTTTTGTGGTTTGTGTATACAGAGTCCCTTTAACATTGAGAACATGGGTCTATACTCCACCATCTTCAGCACACAACTGTAGTCTTCACTGTGTCCGAGGTGATATTGTCCTCTCACATACAGGTGGAGGTGTGAAGAACGCGTATGTGTTGTGTACAAATCCATCTGCTAGTTTAAGTCATAATCTTGATGTGAACTTTCTTATAGGAAGCTGCAGACTCAAACATCAACGGACTTTGTAAACACCTTGTACAATAAAATGGTGTTAAACAAGCAATACTGTATTATCTTAGTGACATGTAATAAGCAGTTAGTGATAATATAATATGCGAATGTATTTACAGGGTATAAATAACACTTATTCTCAATATATACGTAACATTTACTGTACACTAACTATAAAGCTAACATGTACTCGAAACATGAAGCTAACATGTACTCACAACATAAAACTAATAGACATTATCAACGATAAGATATTTTTGTGACACGAGTAGGTTGACGTATTAGTCTCACCAGGTAGCCAAACACACATACAACTTGTTGCTTTATTATTGTGGATGATAAAAATAATCTTGAGGTGAGTAGCACTTGCCGTGTGACTCAAGTTGTCCACGAGTTGGCACTCCAGTGTGAACAAGATCTATTTATGCCTGGGTGACACCCTGGCCTCTGGTCAAGACGATTTCTTTAAGGCTGTAAACCACCGACTAAGGGACATCAACACTATACAGTGATACAGTACAATGTTATGTTTCCCTCCCTATAATACTGGACATGGTGGTAATAAGTAGTGGGCAATATATAGTTTGGGGGTTAACGATAAGTGAAGTCCTGTAAACTTGGATCAGTGTCTCGAGTGGGAGTCTGGTCAGAGGATGACGCTGAGAATGCGCTTGAGGGTGAGTGTTGGTCGCTGAGTGTGTTCGGTCGCAAGGCTCATGATGGATTTACTCCGAGTCTTAAGTCTGTTCCTGAGTGCTCCTCCTCCGCACTCACTGTTACCACCACAGCTGGGGGGGATGTTGGAGAGGTTGGTGGTGGAGGAAGAGTGTTGGAGAGTAGAGGAGGACGGGGACAAGGCCTTGACTCCGCCCCGCCTTCTGTGCACAAGCCACTGAGTGACGAGGGCGCCGCTGTAATCTTCCACCCACGACGACCTGTCACAAGATACAATGTTAGTCTCGCTGTCCTACAGGAAGCGACGTGATAAACATAATCAAGACAAGACGTTAACATTATATTGTGCCTGAAATAAGGCTCTTAATATTGTACAGTATATTAGTAAATAACCTCACATGTTCTTCATTTCCGCCAATGGACGTATCGTTACACAGTACAGTACATCAAACAATTTGTCAAGAAGGCCATATTTTCAGAGCCAACTCTTTACATAAAACAGATGTCTTGATTTTATGAACGTTTCCAAACAGCTAAGACTTGTCATTCCACAAATATTATGCTAATGTTGTGAGTATAAACGCCTCCACGTATCCACAATGTGGTTTTCTGCACTTCTGCCTTCGTGCAGTGAATAATACTTCCCACATTGTTCTATGATTGCTATACAAATACAGCCGCCTGACTTTTGTAATATTATATATATATATATATATATATATATATATATATATATATATATATATATATATATATATATATATATATATATATATATATATATATGTCTGTGTGTTTGTGTGGTGTGTCCGACGAGAATCTCGAAACTACTTGATCTGTAGTGATGACGGATGGTGTTATATGTAGTGATGATGGATGGTGATGTAGTGATGATGGATGTGTTATATGTAGTGATGATGGATGATTTATATGTAGTGATGATGGATGTTGTTATATGTAGTGATGATGGGTGGTGTTATATGTAGTGATGATGGATGGTGTTATATGTAGTGATGATGGATGGTGTTATATGCAGTGATGATGATGTGTTATATGTAGTGATGATGGATGATGTTATATGTAGTGATGATGGATGTTGTTATATGTAGTGATGATGGTGGTGTTATATGTAGTGATGATGGATGGTGTTTTTATGTAGTGATGATGGTGTGTTATATGTAGTGATGATGGATGGTGTTATATGTAGTGATGATGGATGATGTTATATGTAGTGATGATGGATGTTGTTTTATGTAGTGATGATGGATGATGTTATATGTAGTGATGATGGATGGTGTTATATGTAGTGATGATGGTTGATGTTATATGCAGTGATGATGGATGGTGTTATATGCAGTGATGATGGATGATGTTATATGTAGTGATGATGGATGGTGTTATACGTAGTGATGATGGATGGTGTTATACGTAGTGATGATAGATGATGTTATATGTAGTGATGATGGATGTTGTTATATGTAGTGATGATAGATGGTGTTATATGTAGTGATGATGGATGTTGTTATATGTAGTGATGATGGATGATGTTATATGTAGTGATGATGGATGTTGTTATATGTAGTGATGATGGATGGTGTTATATGTAGTGATGATGGATGGTGTTATACGTAGTGATGATGGATGATGTTACATGTAGTGATGATGGATGATGTTATATGTAGTGATGATGGGTGGTGTTATATGTAGTGATGATGGGTGGTGTTATATGTAGTGATGATGGATGGTGTTATATGTAGTGATGATGGATGGTGTTTATGTAGTGATGGGTGGTGTTATATGTAGTGATGATGGATGGTGTTATATGTATTGATGATGGATGTATTATATGTAGTGATGATGGATGTTATTATATGTAGTGATGCTGGATGGTGTTATATGTAGTGATGATGGATGGTGTTATATGTAGTGATGATGGATGTTATTATATGTAGTGATGATGGATGGTGTTATATGTAGTGATGATGGATGGTGTTATATGTAGTGATGATGGATGCTGGATGGTGTTATATGTAGTGATGATGGATGGTGTTATATGTTGATGTGGATGGTGTTATATGTAGTGATGATGGATGTTATATGTAATGATGATGGAGTGTTATATGTAGTGATGATGGTGTTATATGTAGTGATGATGGATGGTGTTATATGTAGTGATGATGGATGTTGTTTTATGTAGTGATGATGGGTGGTGTTATATGTAGTGATGATGGATGTTGTTATATGTAGTGATGATAGATGGTGTTATATGTAGTGATGATGGATGTTGTTATATGTAGTGATGATGGGTGGTGTTATATGTAGTGATGATAACACAATAAAATAATAATAGTTTAATGCTAAAAAAATATACTTTACTGTACCGTTGAAGTAAAAAAACATGGTGGAACTTACATACACCGTTAATGAACTATTGATGGAAGAAGAAGTTTTGGGGACTGAACAGTGAGACAATGTGGAGCCTCCCGGAGGGTGGCGTCCTACCGTGGCCTAGCGAATGAGGGCGGCGTTTCTGCTAGTATATATATATATATATATATATATATATATATATATATATATATATATATATATATATATATATATATATAGATCCACAATGAAAACGTGGATTAGATAAGATAAGCTAAGGTGCTCCATTGTTTCCTTTTTCCTGTGTGAGTTTATCATATATATATATATATATATATATATATATATATATATATATATATATATATATATATATATATATATATATATATGTACAGTACAATTTTCCGTTATCTATGAGGAAATGAGAAAATGTACACCAGATTATGATTGGTCTAAACACCGAGTTTCTCCGTGCGAGGTGTAATGTGAGGTGGGGACAACAGAGAAGCTGAAGCTGCCGCCAGAGGAAGGCGTTAAGTGTTTGATGGATGTTGCTGGAGACCTATGAGAGAGGCGGAACAAAACATCTACGATACCTGTCGCCCCTGACCAGCTCTGAGGTGCTATACTTGTTACTTCACCACCCATATATTGTACTGCACGAGTCAAATATTGTACTGCAGAAGTTTAACGCCGTTTCAGAAAGTTAATTACTTCATTCATAGAGGTAAATAGTGTATTCTAAAGTTAATTATAATATTCTTCGAGTAAGACACTACACCACTGAGTGACTCACAAATCCCTCTCGCCAGCTTTAGTCCTGATTTTTATTTAATTGATTACCGTATTCTTTCTATGAAATAAAAGTCTATTTTTATTCATTCACTTGATATCTACATTATCTGGCATAATGATGATAATTAACGATATCATTTTTGATAATGATGAGATGGAGAGAAGAGAGCCGTTTGTTCTGAAGATGGAAGGCGGTGTAGGAGGAAGGTAAAGTTAGGAAGTGAGAAATAAAGTGGGAGATTTGATGGCAGGTGGGCTATCCACCTTGAGGGGTTGCAAAACTTCAGTTTGAAAACAAATATATAATGAAGTGCTCTAGACTGACTACAATTTGCTTCCACTGGCCATACTGTTACATCGTCCAATCACAAAACGACACGTCATATCGGTAGGCGGTGCTTATTTGGGATATACAGTAATATGAACTTATAGTTAGGTAATAAAATGGCGGAGAAGGTATGATTCTAAGCTATAAAAAGAAATATTTTCAATAGTAATAATTAAAATTGAAACAGTTTGTTTAGCCAGAAAAATGCAGATACAGAATGGACAATAATAACAATAATGACATGGTGAGCCAATTGAGAGCCTGGGCAGTAGTAGTAGGTCTAATAATAGTAAAAGTAGCGGTAGTACTAGTTTTAATAGTAGTAATCGTAGCAGTTTCAATAGTAGTTGTTTTAATAGTACCAGTAGTCATAAATTTGATAGTAGTAACAATATCAGTATTAGGAGCTTTAATAGTAGTAAGAGTAGCAGTAGTATTAGTTTTAATAGTAGTAATAGTAGAGGTAGAAATGATGATGGTGGTTTTGATGGTGGTGGTAAGAGTACAGAGACACGAGGTATGGACTGACCTGACGGTGGGTAGGTAGCCGCTGTGAGTTAGTGTATTGAGGAGGAGATGAACATTGCTGCTGCTGGGTGAGACGCGTGAGTCCAGGTGAGGGTATGTAGCGTCTGAGGTGGTGACGGCCGCCCCAGGGAACACACTCCTCAGTGCTCCCGCCGGCCCGTATACCCTCACCTCCGACGACCGCTGCACCGACCTCCTCACCACCACCAGTGTCGTTCCCTGCAGCCATATCTCTCTTGTTATTTATACTGTTTTACCTCACTCTCTGTTTTAAAGTTATAGCCAAAATGTCAGCCGCTTAGTGTCGATTGAACCTCTATAACTATAAATCTACTTGAATAAATACGTTTATATTTTATTTACATTGTGGCATAAGTGGGACAGGTTGCTGAACTATTTTTTTTGTTTATCGTGTTCACCACTTATCAGCTTACTAGCCGTTTGGGAGCTCTATCCAGTGTTCGTACAGGAGGAAACCAGGGACCGGGAAGCCTGTGGTGTTAGGTAGTGAGGGTCACACTGGAGACTATCAAAGTCCAATTTTCTCCGTCTTACATGTACAGTGGGGGTCAAAAGTCTTGAACACTTAGCAATATCTGACATCTACTTCTGAGTTATACATATATGATTGGGATATACTAATAACACTACTTGTCATCACATATTATGCCTAAACCACAAAACGGGATAAAACTCTCCTTAATACCTAAGATCTTCGGGTACTTGCATGCCAAATACTGTCAAGTGTTCAAGACTTTTGACCCCGACTGTACAATACAGGTCATATATCAGAATATGGTTCAGAGAAATTGTACTTAACTCAGTTTAATCACTGCCAACGTAACTTTCACAGTTACATTGGCTTTCAAACCCTTGGGTGATGATTGTAAATATTCATGTGTTGTGAGGTGACTGTTGACCAAGTTCTCTCACTCGCGACCGCAGACTGTTGATAGTGGTCGTGGGTAGTTGCTTGTTTATGTCAGGCTTTATGTCATAAACAGTTTCGTTGAGCTGACCTAACCTAAGACGTTAGCCTTAAGCCACGAGTAAACACACAATGGAAAATAATAATGTAGATGTAAGTGTGATCGTCGAAGAACACAGCCATGCGGAAGTTCATTACGTTGCCAAACTGTGAAGAAAATGCAGAAAAATACAACCAGGTCTTAAGCACATCATTTAACAAAGTATAGCTTACTAGTTTTGTGAAGTACGAAAACATTACGTGTAAGTACGGTTGATTGCCACCATTAGGTGTATTGTAATGAGTAGGAATGTTTATCCTTACGTTATTGTGAACAGGAAACGTACAGTGTATTCTAACATTTTTTTTTCATTACGCTTCAGTTAAATGATCGATAATTCCTTTCATATTCTCACGAGCCCGCACTATACGTATGTAGTCACGAAAAAACTGAAACAGAGAATTCAAGATACTGTACTTTACTGTACGTGAAATGTTCAAAGAGGTGAAAATTCCAGATGTATATTTTTAAAGGCTTCCTTATGCTACTGCAGAGTGTGTGTACAACAACAGAGTATTAAACTTGCCTCGCTGATAGTTTACAGCAATGCAAATCATTAAACGAAGAAATGAATCTGTGGTTTGGGTTTAGATATTCATAAAGACTCAGAACTCACGTTCAGGGAAGTATACTGTATGTTGACTTTTTAGCATTCCACGCCAGTACTGTAAATCTTGAGTTTAAAATTACTTTACTTTTACTTTATTACTTTTATCATCTTCACCACTGATCGGCTCGTTAGCCACTTGGGCAATCGGTCACGTCTCTGTTACGCACTGTTGGTAAGTACTGGGCATGTACTGGCTCTGGATGTATCTGAACTTGCTCCAGTGCTGGTCAAGTCTGATCTTGAAAGAGCTCATACTCGGTGCCGTCACAACACTCTCTGGAGGCACTGGGTTTGGTCTCGGGTATATATTTATTGATCAAATGGTTCATTTTACTGGCTATGATATTCAGCATAGTGTCTGCGGTCTTACGCCTTTTTAATCAGGCCAGTGGATACCCCTCATCTCCCTCATATTGTAATATTTACTGAACTGAGATATGATGTTGAGTCTCAGGTTGTAACTGAGCGTAAATCATTATGGTACAGTCGGGTTTTAAGAAACAATTATCATCCCAACATTCATTTCGTAATAGAAAATAAATCAAGGTGAATAAAGGTAAGCCAAACTAAACGTTGTACTAAGGCATCAGAAGTTACGACCGAGTAGCCTCACTATAGTATGTTATTACGGTACAGTGAAGACAACTGTTGGGTGTAGCCTCACTATAGTATGTTATTACGGTACAGTGAAGACAACTGTTGGGTGTAGCCTCACTATAGTATGTTATTACGGTACAGTGAAGACAACTGTTGGGTGTAGCCTCACTATACTATGTTATTACGGTACAGTGAAGACAACTGTTGGGTGTAGCCTCACTATAGTATGTTATTACGGTACAGTGAAGACAACTGTTGGGTGTAGCCTCACTATAGTATGTTATTACGGTACAGTGAAGACAACTGTTGGGTGTAGCCTCACTATAGTATGTTATTACGGTACAGTGAAGACAACTGTTGGGTGTAGCCTCACTATAGTATGTTATTACGGTACAGTGAAGACAACTGTTGGGTGTAGCCTCACTATAGTATGTTATTACGGTACAGTGAAGACAACTGTTGGGTGTAGCCTCACTATAGTATGTTATTACGGTACAGTGAAGACAACTGTTGGGTGTAGCCTCACTATAGTATGTTATTACGGTACAGTGAAGACAACTGTTGGGTGTAGCCTCACTATAGTACCGACAACAGTACCAAGGAGAGAAGGAGTGGGATAATAAACTGTGTGTGGAGAAAGTGTGTTATACCACTACTGAGAATTCACACAGCGATCCCTGACAGTGTTAGTATATATTAGGCTCATCCACTGCCCCACCTTTATTCCTGATGACTCTCCACGTTCATTCCAAACTCAATGCTGATCATACTTTCACGGCGCCTGTACGAGTCATACAGGTGTATTACTGACAGGTAGAACAGTCGTACAGGAGTATTACTGATACTTGTAGGTATAGCAGTCGTACAGGTGTATTACTGACAGGTAGAACAGTCGTACAGGTGTATTACTGATAGGTAGAACAGTCGTACAGGAGTATTACTGATAGGTATAGCAGTCGTACAGGTGTATTACTGACAGGTATAACAGTCATGCATGTGTATTACTGACAGGTAGAACAGTCGTACAGGTGTATTACTGATAGGTATAGCAGTCATACAGGTGTATTACTGACAGGTAGAACAGTTGTACAGGTGTATTACGGAGACAGCTGGACCCTCCATAACTTACCATTACTGAGACACCTGGACCAACCATAACTTACCATTACTGAGACAGCTGGACCCACCAAAACTTACCATTACTGAGACAGCTGGACCAACCATAACTTACCATTACTGAGACAGCTGGAACCACCAAAACTTACCATTACTGAGACACCTGGACCAACCATAACTTACCATTACTGAGACAGCTGGACCCACCAAAACTTACCATTACTGAGACAGCTGGACCCACCATAACTTACCATTACTGAGACAGCTGGACCCACCATAACTTACCATTACTGAGACAGCTGGACCCACCATAACTTACCATTACTGAGACAGCTGGACCCACCATACCTCTCTCTCTCAGAAATGTTAAGGTATGGTGGGTCCAGCTTTACTTTGTTGGAGGGTGGGTGATACACGGAGGAGGTGGGCGTGTGGGAGGGCAGGAGCCTTACCTTGTTGGAGGGTGGGTGGTACACGGTGGAGGTGGGCGTGTGGGCGGGCAGGAGGTGGGTCAGGAGATTACTGAGGGACAATCGCCGTCGTCGTCGGGTGTGTATCTTGAGGGTGTCACCGTCACCGCCCACACTGAACCTCTTCCCACCACTCTGACAAAGACAGTAACACGTCACTAAATACACTCTAACCTAACCTAACCTAACCTAACCTAACCTAACCTCTTCCCACCACTCTGACCAAGACAGTAACACGTCACTAAATACACTCTAACCTAACCTAACCTAACCTAACCTAACCTAACCTAAGTTAACCTTACCTAATGAGGCATTATACACATTACATTCAAATACAAACATGAATAAAATGTTGTTCATTACATATTTCACCATGAAACACCTCGAGCCAACAGAACATGACAACACAAACAATGTTAAAAATAATATTGAAACAAAATACAGAGTGTATGACGGTGTAGTGACCTGAGTTGTACTGAACTAATATATGGCGTGGTGACCTGAGGTGTACTGAACTAATATATGGCGTGGTGACCTGAGGTGTACTGAACTAATATATGGTGTAGTGACCTGAGGTGTACTGAACTAATATATGGTGTAGTGACCTGAGGTGTACTGAACTAATATATGGTGTAGTGACCTGAGGTGTACTGAACTAATATATGGCGTGGTGACCTGAGGTGTACTGAACTAATATATGGTGTAGTGACCTGAGGTGTACTGAACAAATATATGGCGTGGTGACCTGAGGTGTACTGAACTAATATATGGTGTATTGACCTGAGGTGTACTGAACAAATATGGCGTGGTAACTCTGAGGTGTACTGAACTAATATATGGCGTGGTGACCTGACGTGTACTGTACAAATATATGGCGTGGTGACCTGAGGTGTACTGTACAAATATATGGCGTGGTGACCTGAGGTGTACTGTACAAATATATGGCGTGGTGACCTGAGGTACTGAACTAATATATGGCGTGGTGACCTGAGGTGTACTGTACAAATATATGGCGTGGTGACCTGAGGTGTACTGAACTAATATATGGCGTGGTGACCTGAGTGTACTGTACTAATATATGGTGTAGTGACCTGGTGTACTAACCAATATATGGCGTGGTGACCTAATGTGTACTGTACAACATATGGCGTGGTGACCTGAGGTGTACTGAACTAATATATGGCGTGGTGACCTGAGGTGTATACCGAACTAATATATGGCGTGGTGACCTGAGGTGTACTGGTACTAATAGATGGTGGGGAAAGACCTGAGGTGCACCTCTTCGTACAAATATATGGCGTGATGACCTGAGGTACTAACTACTATATGGCGTGGTGACCTGAGGTACTGGGTACCAATATATGGCAGTGACCCGAGGTGTACTGTACTAATATATGGGGGTATAATGACCTGAGGTACTGAACTAATATATGGCGTGGTGACCCGAGTGGTATTTTACCATAGGTAGTAGTGACCAATGTACCGTACAAACATATGGCGTGGTGACCTGAGGTGTACTGTACTAATATATGGTGGTGTAGTGACCTGAGGCAAATGAACTAATATATGGCGTGGTGACCTGAGTGTGTACTGTACTAATATATGGTGTAAAGACCTAATGTGCAATTGGGTACTAATATATGGCGTGGTGACCTGAGGTAATTAACCAATATATGGTGTGGGTGACCTGAGGTGTACTGAACTAATATATGGTGGTAGTGACCTGAGGTGTACTGTACTAATATATGGTGTGGTGGACCTGAGGTACCGAACTAACAGGCGTGGTGACCTGAGGTGTGCTGTACTAATATATGGGTGTAGTGACCTAATGTGTACTGTACTAATATATGGCGTGGTGACCTGAGTGTGTACTGTACTAATATATGGCGTGGGTGACCTGAGGTACTGGTACTAATATATGGTGTAGTGACCTGAGGTACCACTAATATATGGTGAGGCAGACCAGAGGTGTACTGTACTATTATATCGTGTAGTGACTATGTGTACTGTACCAATATATGGTGTAGTGACCTGAGTGTGTACTGTACTAATATATCGTAGTGACCTGAAAATGGTACTAATATATGGTGTAGTGCGACCTGAGGTGTACTGTACATATATATGGTGTGGGTGACCTGAGGTACTGTACTAATATATGTGGTGTAGTGACCTGAGTGTGTAATTGTACTAATATATGGTGTAGTGACCGAGTGTACTGTACATATATATGGTGTGGTGATCTGAGGTGTGCAATACAGTACCAATATATGGTGGTGTAGCATCTCTGAGGTACTGTACTAATATACGGTGGTGTAGGGTGACCTGAGGTGCATTGTACTAATACATGGTGTAGTGACCTGAGGTGTACTGTACTTATATATCGGTAGTGACCTGAGGTGTACTGCACTAATATATGGTGTAGTGACCTGAGGTGTACTGTACTAATATATCGTGTAGTGACCTGGAGGTGTACTGCACAATATATCGTGTAGTGACCTGAGTGTACTGTACATATATATGTGGGTGACCTGAGGTGTACAGTACTAATATATGGTGGGTGTAGTGACCTGAGGTAAAATTGGGTACTAATATATGGTGGTGTAGTGGACCTGAGGTGTACTGTACCAATATATGGTGTAGGTGACCTGAGGTGTACCGTACTAATATATGGTGTGGTGACCTGAGGTGTACTGGTAATTAATATATGGTGGTGTGTAGTGACCTCAGGTGTACTGTACTAATATATGGTGGTGTAGTGACCTGAGTGTGTACTGTACTAATATATGGTGTAGTGACCTGAGGTGTACTGTACTAATATATGGTGGTGACCTGCGTGTACTGTACTAATATATGGTGTAGTGACCTGGAGGTGTACTGTACTAATATGGTGTAGTGACCTGAGTGTACTGTACTAATATATGGTGTGTAGCATCTGGAGGTGTAATGGTACTAATATATGGTGTAGTGACCTGGAGGTGTAATTGTACTAGTTGAGAAGGTGGTGTGTAGTGACCTGAGGTGTACTGGGTACTAATATATCGTGTGGTGACCTGAGGTGTACTGTACTAATATATGGTGGTGTAAAGTAACTTGAGGTGTACTCTGTACTAACATATGGCGTGGTGACCTGAGGTGTACTGTACTAATGTATGGTGTAGTGACCTGAGGTGTACTGTACTAATATATGTGGTGTAGTGACCTGAGTGTGTACTGCACTAATATATGGTGGTGTAGTGACCTGAGGTGTAATTAAATTAATATATGGCGGTGACCAGAGGCACGTACTAATGTATGGTGTAGTGACCTGGAGGTGCAACAGTACTAATATATGGTAGGAAGACCTCAGGTGTACTGTGCATATATATGTGTGTAAGAATCTATGGTGTACTGTACATATATATGATGTGGTGACCTGAGGTGTACTGTACTAATATATGGTGGTGTAGTGACCTGAGGTGTACTGTCAAAATTAATATCGTGTGGTGACCTGAGGTGTAATGCAGAAAATTTTTAAATATATGGTGTAGTGACCTGAGGTGTACTGTACTAATATGGTGGTGTAGTGACCTGAGGTGTACTGCAGGCTCAATATAAGCGGTGCAGTGCGGACCTGAGGTGCACTGTACTAATATACAGGTTAGTGACCCCAGGTACTGTACCAATATATGGTGTGGTGACCTGAGGTACTGTACTAATATATGGCGGGTGTAGTGACCTGGAGTGTGTACTGTACCAATACATGTAGTGTAGTGACCTCAGGTGTACTGTACTAATATATGGTGTAGTGACCTGAGGTGTAATGTACTAACAGGCATGGTGAGGTAGTGACCTCAGGTACTGCAGTACCAATATGTTTGGTGTGTAGTGACCCCAGGTACTGTACCAATATATGGTGGTGACCTGAGGTACTGTACTAATATATAGTGGTGTAGTGACCTGAGGTGTACTGTACTAATATATGGTGTGTAGTGACCTCAGGTGTACTGGGTACTAATATATTTGTGGTGTAAAAGTAATCAGGCGCAATGTACTAATATATGGTGGTGACCTGGGAGGTACTGTACTAATATATAGTGGTGTAGTGACCTGAGGTGTACTGTACTAACATGTAGTGACCCCAGGGTGTACTGTATCAATATACATGGTGTAGTGACCTGAGGTGCACTGTACTAATATATAGTGGTGTAGTGACCTGAGGTGTACTGTACTAATACATGGTGTAGTGACCTGAGGTGTACTGTACTAATATATGGTGTGTAGTGACCTGAGTGTGTACTGGGTACTAATATATGGTGTAGTGACCCGAGGTGTACTGTACTAATATATGGTGTAGTGACCTGAGTGTGTCACTAATATATGGTGGTGTAGTGACCTGAGGTGTACTGTACTAATATATGGTGGCGACCAAGAGGTGTACTGTACCAATATATGTGTAGTGACCTGAGGTGTACTGTACTAATATATGTGGTGTAGTGACCAGGTGTACTGGGTACTAATATACGGTGGTGTAGTGACCTGAGGTGTACTGGGTACAATACATGGTGTAGTGACCTGAGGTGTACTGTACTAATATAGCGGTGTAGTGACCTCAGGTGTACTGTACTCACGATACGGTGGTGTAGTGAATTTAGGTGTACTGTAATTAAGAGTATATGGTGTAGTGACCTTGAGGTGTACTGTACTAATATATGGTGTAGTGACCTGAGGTGTACTGCACTAATATATGTAGTGTAGTGACCTGAGGTGTACTGTACAAATATATGGTGTGGTGATTTGAGGTGTACAGTACTAATGTATGGTGGTGTAGTGACCTGAGGTGTACTGTACTAATATAAGGTGTAGTGTGACCTGAGATGTACAGTAATTAATATATGGTGGAGTGACCTGAGGTGTCCTGTACTAATATATGGTGTGGTGACTGGAGATGTACTGTACTAGTATATGTAGTGACCTGAGGTGTCCTGTACTAATATATGGTGTAGTGACCTGAGGTGTACTGTACTAGCATATGGTGGTGTAGTGACCCCAGGTGTACTGTAATTAACATATGGTGTAGTGACCTGAGGTGTACTGTACCAATATATGGTGTAGGATCTGAGGTGTACTGTACAAATATATGGGTGTGGTGACCTGAG